TGATGCCGAGAAATGGAGACAGACATGAGAAGAATGGACACCGATTGGATAGAACTGTAAAAGAAGGCCCAGGACAGAGTGGGTTGTATAATGCTAGTCGGCGGCCAGTGCTCCACTAGGGATAACAGACATAACTAAGTAAGTAATTTATGTTATTCCCTAAAACTAAGTAGTTTCATACTTATTACTCTTGTAATAAACAGAATTTACCTTGAATAACTGTTCATCGTTATTTTCGGACCAACTGGAAGAATATTTACTAGGTTTAATAATCAAACAATTATCCATTATTTGGTTTTGATCATTTGACTCGAAACAATTAGTATCTTCATTTTCATTAATTTCTTTATTTATAGTCGGTGAATGTCTAAACAGTTGACAGTCCATATCAACAATAGAATGTTGACTAGATAATGTAGATAGAGATTGTGAAGATTCTGTGATAGATTTATATTTTTCACGATTTGATAATTGAGCTTTTTGAATTCTTATAAGATTATGAGCACGTTCAGCTAAACTACCTGTAATTGGCTTTGAAATACAATATTTAACAACAATAGTAGAAGATTCAGTATTATTATTGATGCTTTGTTCATCTGATGTCATAGTTGTGCTGAATTTTTGGTCAACTGGTTTGAATCCTGAAGAAAACTCCTACATTAAAAAAAAAAGAATGTAAATCATATTTATACAGGAAAAAGACTTGATTAAAAAGTATTTTATTCGATTTCGAAACTAGAATATACAGTAGAAAATTTGATACCTACGACAAACAATAATTTCTATGTGATTTAAATAGGAATTCATTTTAATTTTGCGCTAATTTTGTCTGTAATTCATTTGGTGGTCAAATAGTTAAAGAAGACAGTGTTAAGCATGCACGTTAACACGTCATTTTGATATGCTTGAACTATTACGAGTTTACCTTAGTCGGGAAACGAGAGCGAGGATCCGGTGACATTGTGGTGCGCGCTACTTATAAGTAGTATATAACGCGAGTGTAAACGTAATGTCTGGCAGCAGAAGATAGGGGAAGATCAAGAAAGGAAGAGTGGGAACACAATGGAATTTGTATGAAACGCATGAATAGTGAAATGTCAGACAATTGATTGATGATGGATTGAAGATTTGCAAATTAACGGTTACGATATAGTTTTCCTATTTTACTGAGTAACTCTGTAATTTTCGTTAAGTACAATTCGGTTGCCCTCACCTGTGTTCTCCTTCACTACAACATGACAGGCTACTCTAATCCGAGCGTCTCAAACCCCCATTGAGTAAAAGAAGAAGACTTGATATGAAGTAGAACATGTATTCTACAAGCACCCGGAAAGTATGAGGTCCGAGTCCAGAAAAGAATCAGGATCCCGGACTAGGGATCCAAGTCCGGGTCCGGTCCATAAAACGTTACAGATAATGCGTATTTATACATTTAGGTCGAATAAGAAACAACATTTAAGTCTGTGACATTGACAGTTAGGACGACCAGTCGGAATTGACCAATAGGACTGGACTTACAAAAATAATTTTCTTAGGATATTTGATGAATATCCTAACAGACAAATAATTACTTTAATGTTTAAAACCTGAATAGTGTATTTCCAGGTTTGAGCAAATGCTGAGATAACATAAGTTTGTATTTTATGGCGTGAAAGATGTATTAATTAAAACAATCTCAATATTATTTTTTTCAGTAATTGTATGCATGAATCATAATTTTAGCAATTTCCTGGGACTAGAGTTAGATTATGGCAATGTATCCTTGAATTTACTTACCTAAAAAAACAACGGCCGAGAGCAGAAAGAGTTCGTTCTCTCTGTTTCTCTCTCTCTCCAAATGATCTCATGTAGCCATGAGTAAATAGCTACCGCCAGAGAAGTCTTACTCATTGCCTTCTCGAGGTAACGGTGCTGTTTTTGAAATTGAGTGGACGAAAACCAAATGCTCGGTGCTTAAAACGGATTAGTGAATATGGAAAGTGATTTCATTGCACATATGCCACAATCGTAGCCTAATTATGTTCTTACATTCCTCATTGAAGACAACTTTATGCTTACAGTATGCCTGACTACTACTGTAAGTACACTATTGATAACGACGACTTACTGTAGAATCCTATCATCTCTTTCTGTCTATTTTACTTGGGTCATATACTTCATATTATTAAAATCTTTGAGATTAGTATTCAACTGAAGCAATTCGTGAATTTTCTTTTTCCAAACAATATCACCGTAACTTTTTTTCACTTTGTGGTATTTATCTAATTGTTAACAGCATTCTGATTATTGTGAACATATGACATTCTATGTAAACATTATGTTTCAAACAATCTCAGAAGTAATATCAATATATGAAGTAATAGAATGACAAAGTTAGTACTTACATTCACTGGAACAATCGTAGTCGGTTGTGATAGTTTACCGGCATCATATTCTGTGCTAAGCATGTCCACTGGTGAATATGAAGAATCTTTTCTATGACTACTAATCACATTATCTCCATAAACCCGGCCTTCAATTGTATACTTATCTCTAGGAGTTATATTGTCAGTTATTTGAATAGATTCTTTTAAATCTTCTCTTGATGATTTTTTTATCGAATGTGATTGATTCTCGTGGAAGTCACAAGCTGAGTTGAGTCGAAGTCGATTGATGCGTTTATCGATCATTTCTAATTCTTCACTATAAATATATATAAAAAATTTGCCAAGTAATACAATACTCTTTGTGAATTGCACATACGCCGGCTTCTACAAACTAAAGTGTCACTTTAATTCCTGAAACTGTACCCAGTAGCTCTAAGCTATGGTACTGTAAATCATTTACACATTCCGGATTTATGTACTTGGCTTTGAACTACAATCATTGTATGAAGGCTAGTGTTACCACTCAACTACTTGAATTAAGGTAGACAACTTATTTTAAACCTTCAATTTACTGACTGAAACTGGAGTGCTCAACTGTTAATGAGTCGTTCCTGCCTTAATACTTCAAGAAGACAGGAAATTCTTGGTTGAGATTTACCTGTAATCAATATCAATAGTCAGAGAACTTAAGTGACATGGCTAAATATGGGTTTTACTAGCGCAAATCCATCGATTACTTATTCTGAAGTTAAATTTTGAGCACTAATATTACTTCATACCTATCTCGATTCTTTCTTTTCAAATGACATTTCACGATTTTGATCTCATTTGGACACTGTAAACATTATTAATACCTTTAATCTTCTTGTTATACATAGTATATCATTTCCTGTTGTTCTTTTAGTGAATCAGGGAAACAACGATTGATACATATACGTGTACAATTTTTATTCTCATGTCTGTCTGCCTGAATGAATGCTTGAAATAACTCCGTCCGAAAATAGTATTTTGCCCCTTAACACAGCTGCCGCATAAACGGGGTTCATCTACTTATGACATACGGAAATCGAAATTAAGATTTATTTCGTCGCATACTCGATAGTTAGTTCAAATTGGAATCATATCGTGGGCTACATTAGTCGTGAGCCCAACTTCGAATTTAACACCACCGTTAGAAACCTGGAAGCACAAAGCATATTCACAGTATTCGTTATGAATAATAACCAAATTTTGTAATGCGAAAATCAATTGGAAATCGATTTTAAAAAGTTTTCCATTCAAAGCTCATTGTAGATAATGTAACTCACTTAGCCAATATAGTATTGGATTTAGGTGCCACTGATTGTGTAAGATCTAATGACACCACCCCACCACTACTACTCAGTAAGTGGTGGGGAAGGGTAAGTTATTGAACGATCTAATGATTAAAAAATAAACTACGTTAACTACTACTCAATCATCATTCTACACCCGGATATTTATTGAAAATAATTTAGTTATCTAAAAGATAATGAATCAACTTGACTTGAAATAAATGTTTATATTGATTACTGAGCTGCATGTTTTGGCTGTAGAGTTTTAATTGTTCTTCTGAACAACATCATCAGCACAAACTCCAGACTTCAGACTTCTCGCTGAAGTTTGTGCTGACGACGTTGTTCAGAAGAACAATGAAAACTCCACAACCAAAACATCCAGCTCAGAGAACCTAACACCACCACAATCATTCACCTTAACTACAAATTTTCTTCACCATCTCAAAATGAAATCACTTTAGGTTTCGAATGTGTGAAATAATATGAGTTTACTCAAGATAACAATCTTTCTATCAAATCCATCAGCATTAATATCGATTTTCAATAAACCCACAGGCATAAGTTCATGCAATATGGAAAAATATACTTCGATTTGAATACAATTTTAAACTTGAAATATCAGTGAAATGAAAAAGAATGCATAGAACGATCTCATGGAAAGCGGCTAACAAACCTAGAATTGAAACACACACTCACAATCATTACATTAAACAATAATCATCATATTATATCGCCAAACTGCGGATGTGTAAATCATTAGGCTCTTAAATTAACGATTCAATAGGCATACTACAATCAGCGGAAGATACGAAAGATTTCAATATGATCTCATATGTTGTTAGCGGGACATAGATTGGATTAAAGCATGATTGCGTAGTCGCACGCTCATTGGCTCTTTTTTATCCAATCAGCGCTAGTCAGCACTGAGGAAACATTCTAGAATCTTCTCATCTAACCTTGTTATTGGAATATAATCTCTTTTCCTGTTCAACCGTGTTCTGATTTTGGGGAGAACGTCTCGAGTGAATTGGTGTCCGAGAATACTAAGCATTAAGAATAGTTGGGTTGTAATAATAAGAGAGAATGATACCATATGTACTACTGGATGAATGCATTGTTTCTACTATTGGCTCAAAATGAAGCCTAACTTTAAAACTAACAACATTGTTGAACAATCGCACCTACAAAAACTTTGATCACTTTAACAGTTATGTAAGTATTATATACAATTTAGAAATTTATCTCCCTAAAATTGTGTCAAGCAAATGGGAGAGAATGGAAAATGCCTTGAGATAATAATAATAATAATAAAACCTACTCTAATAATTTTTGACGTAATTGTATATTCTCATTGTCTGTGCACACATCACGAGTACATTTATCTTCAAATGATAATTTACTTGATGTAACAGATTGTGTAGATATTTTTGAATTTTCATGTATCAACTGAATTGCATTATCAGGTTTTATATTAGAAAGAGAATTTTTCAAACTCATCGATCCAGAGAGAAAACGACAACGTCGGATATCAGGTAGAATTGGTCTTTCACCAGGTCCTAAATTAATCGAGTTTACAGATTTTTTGTCAGCTGGTATTTGTTGTTGTTGTTGTTGTTCTTCTTCTTCTTCCATACTTGGATGTTCATCATGTTGTAAAACGTTATCAGTGTTATTATCATTCGGATCTTTAAGAGGAAAATGAAAAAAAAATTTAATACAAAGAAAAAACTGACACAATAAAATGTAAGAAAACTACTCAACAACCAATGATAAAAGAGTCTTAAGTCAGTCTAACTTATCAATTAGTACTAAGCAAAATGTTGTCATAATCTAAAACCGTCCAGTGCTTCCAGGTTTCTAATGGTGGTCTAACAATGATTGGTTGATGATTTCCATAACTCTAATTGAAAATATCGTAAACTGTGCTCACTAGTGACTAACTTCGTGAGGAATTTCTCGAAGTTCTAGTGAGAAGACGTGACCAGTGGAGTTCAACCCTGTCGGGTGTAGGCAGTAACATCTACCGAAGACAAATGGATGAGGTCGCGCAAAATCCCTAGATCAATCAGAGTTAGACATTAACACCGTTGGATGCCGACTCAGTGGTCCGTGGTTCGAATCTCCTGAGGTTTAGGAGTCGTGGATGCGCACTGCTGATGAGTCCCATAACAGGACCAAACGGCAGTCGAGTGCTTCAAGGTTTCTAACCGTGATCTAACAATGATTGGTTGATGATTTCAAATGTGTAGAAAAAAACAATAGTCTCCATAACTCTAATTGAAAATAATCTAGAGCATCATGTTCAGCATTAAGTGTACTTGGATTTCAGCGGATATTGGTGCTCTTACTAAAACACGAAGAACATAGTGGCTATTGTTTTAAACACTAGAAGACAGTCTACCAGTACACTGAGTAGTGAGATTTAGTTTTTTCCTGTTAAAAAAAAGTTGCTCATCTACTAAAGTATTCCATTTCTAATCATAAAATTAAAGGTTAGTTTATCTTCTGCCAGAAGTCTGTGATTTTAAGGCTAACTGTCCCTAATATCCGCTTACTTACTAAGTATAATTGTTAGTAAGCTATTTCCATCTCTCGTAAACAGATTAATGCATGTCAGTAAATCAATTACTGATATGAAGATATGATGATATCCCACTAGAAACGCACATAAAATAAACAAAACCACTTCAATTCTACTGCTAGCTATCAGTCAATGAAATATTATTAGGACAGATTCATTAACAGCAGTATATAGGCTTACACTTGAAAAAAATAACCAATTTGTTGACAAATGGTGAGCAACAATCCAATTTGATCAATGAACGAGCAGAACTCACAGAAGTTACGCATTAAAGACCAATTTTTTCATAAGAACTACTTACCTAATTCAACGATTTGATCACCTGAAAGTGACGCTGGCAGTTTAACAGGCTGATCATCATTATCCAATGTGATATCTGTTGTGGGTAGGCTGTTTTGTTCACGTTCAACATTCAATACTTGGTTACATTCATTGATATTGTTATCTACAACACTTTCATCAATTGTATCATTGTATTCTTCATCATTTAAATTTGCCAATTGACGAAGTAATTCATCCTGATAAATTGTGAATGAGTGATAAATGGAATAAATAATTTTTTGAAGATATCTAATTTACTACTTATGAACTTTATGTACTTGGATTTGAATCATACTATTTTTGTGAATGACAGCCATGGTATTCGCTGACCGAACTCAATCAACTGAATCATAGATCAAACCGTTGACCTAATGAATCAAAATCGAATTTAATGACGGGATTCAGTGAAAATCAAACCTAGATCACTTAGATAGCAACACTTTTTGTCTTCTCTCAAATTCTAATCTGCTGAATTCCTCATCACCTCTATCCTTCTCTCTCTAAATTTATCTCACTAAATTATACATCTCAAATCATATCTTTGACCCTAATCTTCTCCATTACTGCTAATACTTCTACTATCGCTACCACTTAAGGATTTGAATTGACAATTGCACCTATGTGCTAACGTGATATGGCAACCTGAAGTGATGTAAGTACATATGAAGTTCTGTGTTTTAACTGACTGACTGACTGACTGAGTGGGAAAGCAGTTCAGAACTGAATAAACGAGTTTACATAGAATTCAATCAGTCATACTTATGTAAAGGATTTATAAATAGAATTCATTCTTCTATTGCCTGACATCTTTGAAAAAATTAATACCTGAATGTTTACTATGTATTCAGATGTTAAAAACGTAAGTTGATGGGATGAGTTTTAGCTACAACCATATTTTATTGGGCTGTTAAATCAATCTGTCAATAGTACACAGATATATTCATTGCTAATCAAAAAGAAACCTTGATCGCTTCTTTAAGTGTGTTACACGTCACTACTTAATAGTAGTGAGTAGATTACATGTTACCAGTTATAATCGTGAATTTTCAATCGTGTAGATTGGCATTTTCAATCGATGTATTGATTTGCGTTTTTTTTTAAATTTAATGAAATTTCATTCCTCTTATTATTATTATTATTATTATTATTATTATTATTATTATTATTCATTCTTGATTTTGTTTGTTAGTCCGATAAAATTCATTTATTCTGAATTGTTATTATTATTATTCATTCTTGATTTTGTTTGTTAGTCCGATAAAATTCATTTATTCTGAATTGTTATTATTATTATTCATTCTTGATTTTGTTTGTTAGTCCGATAAAATTCATTTATTCTGAATTGCTTTGCTCATTATGAATGGATAATAATTCGGTCATTTTGTTGATTGCTTGTACATAACTGATACAATTGCATGATTGTTACGCATGTTTGTAAACATGTCAATTTGATATGCTTCAACTATTAAGAGATTAATTTAGTAGGTAAATGAGAGAGAGGATTGAGGATCCGGCGACACGACATGCTACTCTAATCCGAGCGTTCCGAACCCCGATTGAGCGAAAGGAGAAGACATGATATGAAGTAGAATGTGTATTCTACAAGCACCCGGAAAGTACGAGGTCCGAGTCCAGAAAAAGATAAGGATACCGGACTAAGGATCCGGGTCCGGGTCATAAAACGTTACAGATAATACATATTTATACAGTTAGGTCAAATAGGAAACAACATTGAGGTATGTGACATTGGTAGTTAGGATGACCAATATCGATTGACCTATAGAACTAGACTTACAAATAATTCTGTTAGTTTATTCATCGAATATCCTAACAATGTTGTTCTCAAATTTAAGGTAAACATTGCAGCTTCAATCTTATCAAATTATCTTGAAAATATTTTCTCGCTTTTTGTGCATATGATAAAATTACTGATCGCTGAAAACGACATTTTTCGTTTGCATACCTGATTACTTGTTATTAGTAATTCGTACGTGTTTGAATCTTCACACTGTTGATAGTGTACAATCAATTTTAATCAATCTTAAACAGCACACATGATAAAGAATGATTAATAACGGCTAACCCTGAAAAACTAGATACACAACTCCTCACATCTCCAATTCGTCAGCTAGTTCAGTGTAACTTTATATCAATGTCCATGTCACATACCTAGTGAGTTATTCACTGATCGAAAGTCACTCAACAATATCATAAACAAAATCACTCAAACTCCTACTAGCAGTGATATAAACACTTTATCCGTTCACAAGTTATTGCATATCTGGACACAATAGATTAGTACAACTCAGTAGACAACACTTTGGCAATTCGAAGTAACAGGTACTAAATCCGATTCTTGATGTGAATGTCAACGATGGAGTGCAGGCAAATTTAACTGACTAGTTTCAAACAAGACAACATGTAAATTCTGGTTTCCACTGTTAGCTACCATCCATCTTTAACTTAAATACTTATAACTTGTGTTACTTCTTTGATTGTACCATTCTCAGGGAAACCTCACGTAATAATTCCAAGATTTTACATGTCATTAGTTGGTGTGTTACAATCTTTGAAAGGATTTTACACTAGATACCGGTTAAAAGATCTACTTTCAGAAAGAAGTGATAAATACCTCGAAAACTTTTTCCATTCGACGATTCACCGCAGAATCATCCAAATGACCACTTATAGGTACATGAGAATTTTCAACATTTCCGGAATATAATTGATTTCTACGAAGTAAAGTCTCATTACGTTTGATTTCATCCAAACGATCCAGTAAAGCTCGATAATATTGACGGACTCGTTCTCTAAAATAAAATCATAAAAGCGAATATAGTTACGCCAGAAGTCTACTTAATAATAAAACAGAACATGCATAAATCAAGCTTGAAAGATTTTTTCTCACTGAAATAGTGTTAATCTCAAGGTAACTTAACAGTGATTGGATAAAAAATTTTTCCTAAGCATTATCCCAAGTCTACTCATGAGAAATTACGATGTAAGCAAAGTGTAAGAAACATTTAAAAAATACTAATTCATCAACTATACAATTGGATTCTTTTCATCAAATAAAAATCTGTTGGAAAACCTCTTAACTGATCGAATTCTAAATTGCTAATGTCCAAGGTCAAAAACTTACAATAACCAAATGCCCGAAACACTCCGAATTCAACTTTTGTCAGTCAATTTAAAATAATAAGCCAATTATGAAGGCTTAAGAAATGTTGTATTTTTGACACAGTTGTAAAATGTCGAGGACGCTACTAGACTATCTCTACACAAAATCTTGTTTTAAACAAGAAAAAAATTCTCGATTATTTAGTTCAAAGATAAACAAAATAAAAAATAAGCATCAGTCAACAGTTCAGTCAAAAAATTTTCAAAGATAGTACGCTACATTTTTGGCTCTCCTAAGGAAGTTTCTATCATGTATAAATAAGCTTGATTTGTGTGCTTGTCGACATCGTATTTTCTGGGTGCTTGGACAATACACTTTCTACGCTTTATCAATACTTCTTGATATAGTTAGCCAGGCCAGTGACAAATAGATTAGAATAGCCTATCGTGTCACTGCATCACTGATCTGCGCTCCGTTTACCGAGTAAGGTGAACTCGTAATAGTTTCAAGCATATCAACTAACGTCAGTCAGTTACAACGTAGAACTTCGTACATAAGTAAATCAGTTCAGGTGGCTATACCATATCAGCACAGAGACGCAACTGTCAGTTCAAATCCAATAATGGTAGCGATAGAAGTATTAGAAGTAATGGAGAAGATTAGGGAGCGAAGATATGATTCGAGATGTATAATTCAGTGAGATAGGTTTAGAAAGACAAAGGTAGAGATTATGAGGAATGCAGAAGGTTAGAATTAAAAAGAACACAAAGAGTGGATGCACCTGTGCCATTGCAAACGATTCTGAGCCATGTCGTTCAATAACTCTAACCATCGGTAACTATCATCTCGCGGACCCCAACCTGATAGTCAACACCTGACAACATGACTCAGTTCACTTGTCAGTGACTTCATGCATTCCTGCTATGCTTTGATTTGGCCGCCCCTAGCTTTCGTCCAACCTACTCCTACACCACAAAAAACAGTTCGTCGCGGTAGTAGGTGGTTAGGCATACGTAACACATGTCCCAACCACCTCAACTGATGAAGTTTCACTACTTCATCTATTGATTTGCCATACTTAAATTCAAATGAAAAATATGCAAAACGATTTGGACTAACTCTTTAGTTCATTGTTCAATTCGTTGTCACAGGCTTTAGTAGTTCAGAATGCAATATTTTAAAAGAGCTAAAGCGACGGTTCTACCATGCCAGGCAGGTCGATTGGAGAACGATGAGATTAAAAGTAGCTACTAAAGGTCTGAAGGTGAAGTCGTACTGCTGACTGCAGAGAGGTGTGACAGCAGTAAGGTGTTTCCCTCGGACAACCAGCATCTGCAGCGATGCTGCCTTCTCACAAGGAAGGAAGGGTTAGAAAAGGTCGACCCTAAAAACGTCACACCTCACCCTACCTCACGGATTTCTGTCTCCGTCAGTAAAGGTGCTCACCAAGGGCTTTTAAGAGCGGAGCTAACACCCAAAAAACTTCTCATAAAAAGGCCGTGCGTGACCGGCCTCTAACAGTTGTCCCTTGCGCTCTGCGGTCACGCTCCCAGGTCTCTAAGACCGACACTAATCCACCTTCCTTTTCATGTCCCTCAAGAAACAACCTTCTACGGTGTGGGCAGCCAGGAAGTGACAACCGCCCTCATACCAGTAACAGCAAGCGAGACCAAATTGGTCATAATCAAATCCTTCCTACACCCCTTAATGTCTCTCTTATCTCCACGACTAACTCCACTCATTTTCCTTTATCACACTACAGCACTATATATTTACAACATGAAAATTGAATCAGTAGCGTTGATAGATAAATTCTTATACTGTTTAAAATGTATATACGCATAAAATTATCATAAGTAATATAAATGTAATTTGAAGAACATATGCAAACTCATACAACAGATCACCAGCAAAATCTTCGGTCTTAGGATTGAAGCTATTATCATCTGATATGCATTTCGGCTAACACAGGAATCCAGGGAGTGCACTTTGTTCAGTTTGGGATGTGTTTAATATATCTGACTAGGTTAAGTCCGGAATATCAACAACAAAAAAGCTAAAACCACTAATAGTATTGTAGTGAATGAGAACACAGGTGGGGGCAACCGAATTATATTTAACGAAAATTACAGAGTTACTCAGTAAAATCGGAAAACCATATCGTAAATCGTTCATTTGCAAAAGATCAGTTCATCCTATGGAACTGGACTGTTCCTGGTGCCAAACATCAATCCATTGTCACTATTCATGCGTTTCATACAAATTCCATTGTTTTCTAACTCTTCCTTTCTTGATCTTCCCCCCATATTATGCTACCAGACTTTACGTTGACACTCACGTTATATTCTACTTATAAGTAGTTCGCACCACAGCACCACAGTATTACCAACATGTTCAGAATGCAGTAGATTAGACTTACTTTTTCATTGCCTGACGTCCACGCACATCAGCTTTGATAAGGTTTTCACTAGCACGAAGAGCATTTATACGCTCAACTGCTTGTGTACGTTGTTCTTCTTCGTATGCCGAAATATTAGCATTTTGAGGTTTATTATGTTCAATCTCTTTCTCGTCATCGACTTTTTCATTTTTTACAACTATTTTCGATGGTACATTCTGTGTATGTATTGTGTTTCTAGCTTCAAGATCATACACAAGAACTAAGGCTTCATCAGCTAATAATAGAGATATGAAAAAGGGAGAAGTATTTTATAACATATTGGTGAAAAGTTAATTAGAAATGGTGAAACGTTGTTAAACATCAGTTAGCTAAATGGTAAAATAACTACTTGACTCATCTGTATGAAAAAGTATCAGAAAAAACTTATTTGGAAAAGGAGAAAACTACCAGATATTCCGGTGAACAAATGCCTCAAAAATGTACAGAAGTAGTATTAGCAAGTGCATGAATAACCAGGGTGAGAATATATATGCTTACCCCTCTTAACAATATAAACGAACTACTTATTCCACTGCTAGCCACCGAGTGAAATAATATGAAATTTTCAAAGAGAGATTGTACGGATCACGAATAGCAGATCATCAGCTTTCTGTTACGTTAAGTGACAATAGTTACAACTTTTCCAAATGAATGTTTTAAAAAGGCCCATGAAGAGTCAAACTAAAGTGGTAGATCAAGATAGACATTGTGAACATGTAGCATATTTCTCAACTACACCAAGCTTTTTGACGTTCCTCAATTGAAACCTTAAACTCAACCTCAATAATGCTGATACATAAATTTTTCGTCACACACTGTAAAGGAAGTGCAGATCCAATGAGAACATAAGTTCCGTTTTAACTATAAAAATAAAATTAAATAAATTTAACCGGTCGAGCTATATTTTGTGGTGTAGGAGTAGGTTGGAATAAATCTAGGTGCAGCTAAACCAAAACATGGCACAAATCCATGAAAACACTGACAACTGGTAAGTGCAGACTATCTGGTTGCGGCTCGCGAGATGATAGTAATAGATGGTTAGAGAATCAGAATGACATGGCTCACAACCGTTTGCAATGGCGCAGATGCATCCATTATTTGGCTTCTCTCAAATCCGAATCCTCTGGATTCTTCTTCACTATTATGTTTCTCTTTTTAAGTTTATTTTACTAGATTATACCTCTTGAAGAATATCTTGGAACCCTAATCTTAACTATTGCCGCTAATACTACTAACTACTATATCTACTACTATGGGATTTGAATTGACAATTACATCTCTGTGCTAATGTGGTATGGCAACTTGAACTGATGTACGTATGTATGAAGTTCTACGTTGTAACTTAATTACTGAGTGACACTCTATTATTCAGTCAGTTCAAAATTGTAGCGATGTTCTAAAGCAACAGCCAGTTACGATCAGCAATCATGCAGTTCCTATAACCAGCTTACACATCCGATAAAAAAATTAAAACCAGCTTTTATTAGCCATAAATACACTAGACAAAACCATTTTGAGTAGGTTGGTATTATTGTTTGAAGATTAGCATCAAAGTCAGAGGTTTTGAGTTTGAAATGAAAACCGAAAAGAAGAATAGTGTTTTCGAAGCAAAAAATTCAACAATTTTAGTATTCTCCGAGAAATCGGCTACAGTGAAACTTGACATTTACACACACGAACATCCATACTGAATCGTAATTGCATAAGCCATAATAATAATGTTATATGTCCGAGAAAACTCCGCCAGTAGAACCTTCGGGGCTACTGCCGGTCCCAAGCCCGGGTAAAGGAGGAGGGTTGGACATGGGGTTGGCGACCCCATTCCGTTGAAATCTAACTTGCCAAAAAAACGCTAACCAGAAAAAATAATTCAAACCATTTTAACTCTGCCCTGGGAGTTGGAGGAAGAATTATGACGTCGCGTGATGAAAGCCGAGTTCCCTCGGAAGTCACGGGGCTGATGCCTCTTCTGACAACCAGAGCAACCATTTTTTTAGGTACATGGAACGTTCGTACATTGTGGGAGACTGGAAGACTATTTCAAGTTGCGGCAGAAATGAGAAGATACAACCTCGAGGTGCTTGGAATCAGTGAAACACATTGGACACAAGTAGGACAACTGAGACTAGCTTCAGGGGAACTGCTGTTATACTCTGGTCATGAAGAGGAAAATGCTTCACATACACAAGGAGTTGCATTGATGCTGTCCAAACATACACAAAAGGCACTAATAGGATGGGAATCTCATGGACCGAGGATCATTAAAGCATCCTTCAAAACAAAGAAAGAGGACATTACAATGAACGTCATCCAATGTTATGCACCTACCAACGACTACAATGACGACGACAAAGATCAATTCTACGAAAGGCTGCAGTCAATCGTCGATCAATGTTCACCAAAGGATTTGACGATTCTTATGGGAGACCTGAATGCCAAGGTTGGAATGGACAACACTGGATATGAAGACATCATGGGACGACATGGACTGGGAGAAAGAAACGAAAACGGTGAGAGATTTGCAAACCTATGTGCCTTCAACAAACTGGTCATCGGTGGCACAATATTCCCGCACAAACGCATACACAAAGCTACATGGATTTCACCGGATCACACTACTCAAAACCAGATTGATCATATCTGTATCAACAAAACGTTCAGAAGGACTATGGAGGATGTGAGAACCAGGAGAGGAGCTGATGTAGCCTCAGATCACCATTTGCTAATCGCCAAAATGAAACTGAAACTAAAGAAGCACTGGACAACGGGACAGACAACATCACAGAAGTTTAATACGGCCTTTCTTCGGGATACTGTAAAGCTCAACGAATTCAGGATAGCCCTCACCAATAGGTTCCAGGCCTTTCAGAATATACTCAATGGAGAGGACACAACATTGGAGAACAATTGGAAAGGGATTAAGGAGGCAATCACTTCAACATGTCAGGATGTCCTTGGTCGCAAGAAGCAGCATCACAAGGAATGGATCTCTGTTGATACTCTTGCAAAAATTGAAGAAAGGAGGAACAAGAAAGCAGCAATCAATGTCAGCCGAACAAGAGCGGAGAAAGTTACCGCACAAGCTGCATACACAGAAGCAAACAGGAAAGTGAAGAAGAGCATCAGAGCTGACAAACGAAAATATGTGGAAGATCTAGCAACGACGGCGGAAAAGGCTGCAAGAGAAGGAAACATGAGACAATTGTACGAAACTACAAAGAAGCTCGCCGGAAACTATCGTAAACCAGAACGACCAGTGAAAAGTAAGGAAGGGAAAATAATCAGCAACACTGACGAACAGCGAAATAGGTGGGTGGAGCACTGTAAGGAACTATTGAATCGACCAGCTCCAGTGAACACACCCAACATCGAAGCAGCATCCACGGACCTCCCAATTAACATTGGCGCACCTACGATTGAGGAGATCAGTATAGCCATCAGACAAATCAAGAACGGCAAAGCAGCAGGACCAGACAACATTCCAGCAGAGGCAATGAAAGCAGATGTAGAAGCAACTGCGAAAATATTTCACATCCTCTTCAAGAAGATTTGGGATGAGGAACAAGTACCATCAGATTGGAAAGAAGGATACCTGATCAAAATACCAAAGAAAGGCGATCTCAGCAAGTGTGAGAACTACAGAGGCATCACTCTTCTTTCAATACCAGGCAAAGTCTTCAACAGGGTATTGTTAAACAGAATGAAGGACTTCGTAGACGCCCAACTTCGAGATCAACAGGCCGGATTTCGGAAGGATCGATCGTGTACTGACCAAATTGCTACATTACGGATCATTGTGGAACAATCAATTGAATGGAACTCACCACTCTACATCAGCTTCATCGACTACGAGAAAGCATTCGATAGCGTGGACAGGAAAACACTGTGGACTCTTCTTCGACACTACGGGGTGCCCGAGAAAATAGTCAACATCATACGGAATTCCTATGATGGATTCAACTGCAAAATCGTGCACGGAGGACAGCTAACCGACTCTTTCGAGGTGAAGACCGGTGTCAGGCAAGGTTGCTTACTCTCACCCTTTCTCTTTCTCCTGGTGATCGACTGGATTATGAAAACGTCAACATCTGGAGGGAAGCACGGTATCAACTGGACAGTTAGGACGCAGCTGGACGATCTAGACTTCGCAGATGATCTGGCTCTTCTATCGCACACTCAACAACAAATGCAAGAGAAGACGACCAGTGTAGCAGCAGCCTCTGCAGCAGTAGGTCTCAACATACATAAAGGAAAGAGCAAAATTCTCCGATGCAACACAACATGCACCAACCAAATCACGCTTGATGGAGATACCTTGGAGGACATTAACACCTTTACATATCTGGGCAGCATCATCGACAACCAAGGTGGATCGGATGCAGATGTGAGGGCGCGGATTGGCAAAGCAAGGGCTGCATTTCTACAGTTGAAAAATATCTGGAACTCCAAACAACTTTCAACCAAAACCAAAATAAGGATTTTCAATACAAATGTCAAGACAGTTCTACTGTATGGAGCGGAAACATGGAGAACTACCAAAGCCATCATCCAGAGGATACAAGTGTTTATTAACAGCTGTCTACGTAAAATACTTCGTATTCGTTGGCCAGACACCATCAGCAACAACGAACTGTGGGAGAGAACAAACCAGATTCCAGTGGAGGAGGAAATCAGGAAGAAGCGGTGGATGTGGATAGGACACACATTGCGGAAAGCACCTAACTGCGTCACGAGACAAGCCCTCACATGGAACCCTCGAGGCAAAAGGAAAAGAGGAAGGCCAAAGAATACATTACGCCGAGAAATAGAGAAAGATATGAGAGGAATGAACAAACATTGGACAGAACTGGAGAAAGAAGCCCAGGACAGTGTTGGTTGGAGAAAACTGGTGGGCGGCCTATGCTCCATTTGGGGTAACAGGCGAAAGTAAGTAAGTAAAGTAATGTCCGAGAAACTAAGATGAATTGGCTGACGAATGAACACGGACTCATTCAGCCAGACTAAATAAAAGAGATTATTTTATGTGAAAAAAATGATTCCATTGTGTTGACTGCTTTGTACTTTCTGTTGATATTCTTGAGTCCCGGCCCATAATTTGGTTCTTATTTATTACTCGGATAACTAAGTTATGTGAACCATGTGTTCTAATATTGTGAACTATTTACTCAACCAAACATTCAGCGTATTAAACCTATTATTTAGTAGTCAAGTTATGCCATCTAGATACGTTTCAGTATCTAGTATTAGCTGCGTAAAATCTCAAACTTATATTATATGATGGATTAATTTGTACATTAACTGTTCTTGAAAGATCTCATATTGATCTGTTTATCACTAGTCATATAAAACTGTTTGCAAAAACTAAAAGTAAGATTCTGGCAGTAATGCATAAATCATACTTGATAATTTAGCAAAACACTAGAAGCGAAATCAGTTTGTACATCTTTGATCAATTTTTGACAAAAGTAATATATTTTGGGGCAGAGTTTTGGAGGTTTGCGTTTTTACACATTTGAAATCATCAATCAATCATTGTTAGACCACCATTAGAAACCTAGAAGCACTGGACGGCCGTTTCGTCCTGGCATGGGACTCATCAGCAGTGAGGAAATTCTCGGAGTTCTAGTTGAGAAGACGTGACCAATGGAGTTCAACCCTGTCGGGTGTAGGCAGTAACTACCAAAGACAAATGGGTGAGGTCACACAAAAATCCGTAGATCAATCAGAGTTAAACATTAACACCGTTGGATGCCGGTCCATTGGTCCAATGGTAAGGCGTTCGCCTACAATGCCGAAGGTCCCAGGTTCGAATCCTGCGAGGAGCAGGAGTCGTGGATGCGCACTGCTGATGAGTCCTATACCAGGACGAAACGGCCGTCCAGTGCTTCCAGGTTTCTAATGGTGGTCTAACAATCATTGATTGATGATTTCAAATGTGTAAAAAGTAATATAAACTAACAATAACTACAGCTAATCCATTTGTAAATATGAAATGCGAAAAATTGCATCCCTAAATAAATAGATGTATTTTCCAAATAGTAGTAAAATATCAGTATTATAAGTCAATTATAATAATAATTGAGCTTTTATATTACAAATAAAAATTAAAATATTACTAATATTTTCACACACACAAAAATAACCAACAATTAATATTAAAATTACAAAGAATTTCATACCCGGTTTAGGTTTTTTTAAACTTTCTTCATCAAGTATATCCTTGGGAGGTGGTAGAGAAGCAATTAAAGCGGCACGCTTTTTCTCAGCGTTTCTAACTTCTTTAATCCGTTCCTGAATTTCATGTTGTATAAGAGCTTTATTTAGATTTTCTTCGCGTAGCTTATTCATAGCTACATGAAATCGGTCTTTAGCTTGTGCTTGGGCTACAGACAAATTCCGGCTAATTTCTAAAGCAGGATCATCCTAAAAATGATCAGAAAGTGATGCTTTATAGTTTTATGAAACTTGAGCGATGTATCGCGAAACCAAAATATATTGACTTGGAACATTAACCATCTCTAGTGGATCAAGATTTTACACACAACAGTGATATTAAAAACATCCAGTACCTACTCCCACTAGCTAAAAGCGACCATGTAGTACTGTACTTCAGGTTTAAAAAATTATTTATCCGCATCATGCAGTCGAATTCCTTGTGGGCTAACATCCCGGCAATCGAAGATCGTGCTATCTCAACAAACTGATCGATCAATTTAGATGGGTCAGTCGAAGATTAACGGGATAAATTTCAAGCCACATTCGAGTCTATAACATCCCCATTTATCCCTTGTTCTACATGTAAGCCCTCACATTGCTCTCCATTGATTGATAGGGAAACCTAGAGACTGCTGCAGTATAGGAAACACTTCTGGGACTTTTTCTTGTCAACGAGTAGTTAATCTCTTAAATGTAAATACAGGAAAATTCGGAATAAAAATAAAAAGGCTATAGCAGGAAACCGCATCACTTGTGGAAGACAGTTGGCATAATATAACTGTACTTGCGCAAAAGAATCAAATTCGTTACTAAACGAAGAACAAAATATAATGATGGAATTCCTTTATTATTACTACACGAAAATTCAGATATAATAGCTGAGTCAGACTTGGCCAAGGATGAGTATTTATCAAACTATTTCAGAAAAATATTATCCGCGGATATTGTCAACAACATTGTTCATAACCATGCTACCGAGATACAAGCTATAGAACCAGTAACTGTAACTAAACAAGTTGTTCGTCAATCTCTCATGAACCTCAAACCTGGTGAGTCACCGGGTCCTGATGGGTTAAACCAATGATTACTGTCATTACTCGTGGATACCTTTGAAGAACCGCTTACGATGCTGTTTAACATGTCACGTTCCCAGGCTCATCTCAAGGATTGGGAGAACGCTATAACCATCCCCACATTCAGGTATCACAAGAGACGAAACGTGTCTAACTACGGACTTGTTAGTCTAACCAGAATAGTTGTTAAGTTACTTGAGAAGAAACTTCGGACCAGGTTACTAATTCATATAGAACTATACAATCTGTTAACTCCTGAGCAACATTGCTTTTTGAACAATCATTCACGCTCAACTAACTTACTAACTGAGAGAGAAGACTGGACAGTAGATCAAGATAACGGCTTGTCTGTCGTTGTAATATTCATAAATTTCAGCAAAGTATTTGACAAGGCTTTTCCCCTAGGACGTTTCCAGAAGCTCTGGAACTGTGGAATAGCGACTGCACCACACTAGTGAATAAGAAGCTTCCTCCGTGGCCGAAGACAGAGGCTGATAGTAAATGGGAAACTGTCCATAGCTTTATTTTATGATTCTGTCGTTCATTTTTCAAACTGACAATTGGCCCATAACCACACTGAATCATTTATAAATAGTTACATTAATTGGCAAGTATATATGTACGCACTTATAAAGTTGACAGATTTCCTTATTTTTAAAAGTTCGCTCACTTGGGACTTGGGGATCGATCTAGTGAGAACATTAGCAGTAGGGCAACAGTCTACTCTATTTACTTCGCCTGACTGAACGATCAACCAGATTATTTATCGAAGTCGTTTTCACTAGGGAAAACTACCGGAAGGACAGACAAGTTTAGCAATCTCTACAACAAGCATCATTGGAACTCTACACCAATTAGAATGTTAACAATTAGGTTAAATTAGTATAACTAACCCGACTCAAAGAAAAAACAAGGCACTCAATAGGTGAAAGCTTGAGTTAGGTCAGTAAAACTCTACTCCTTTTGAATATAGTCATTAATAGCAATGATAGCTTAAAACTCAGCTCATTAAAAAGTTTGAAAAGCGTCATTAGTAAAGAGAAATAAACTATCTATATGTAGCCATACTAGACAGCTCAAAAAAAGGTTACCCAATTTTCTGCATATCTATGAGCAATCCCGATTTGGTTCATTACGTTGGAGTACTCATCCTTCTTTGCTTCAAGCAGTTCCATATCTTCTCTGATATGCCTAATCTGGAAAATGAGAAAACATATTGCTACCTGAAGATCTTTTGCGATAATATCTGCTAACTGCTGTTTTTTAGCATTGTATAACATTCTAAGTTTAGCAGCATTTTGTTTGGCTTGCATTCGGACCTTAATGTAAAGTCCATTATATACTGAGACTACCTGTAGAATTCTTAGTTTTTTTCGACGTTCGAATTCATCACGCTTTATCTGCTGTATTTCTGAGAGAGATGGAACAAAGGACCACGAAGGATACACAGGCATGATTAGTACTCAGTAGTCAAAACAAACTTTAAAGACGCATCGACTCAGTGAAGGTCGTATCACGAATTATTTGTGCGAAAAAACAAAAACCGCAGAAGGTGAAGAATCCTAACCACTTTGAACGGAATGGAACAAACCTTCATTAAAAATATTTTCGTACCAAGAGGCACTCGATTCTCGCTACATTTAATAATAATAATAATAATAATTTATTCTCAAATAACAAACATGTTACAAGAGACATGCCAATTTACAGGCAAGATCAAAATGTTAAGATCAGCAACATATTTCTTTTAAAACGGTATACATTTACTGAAACATTTCACAAGATTCATTGTGTTCTTAAAGATGGAATGTTCAATGCGAATAATTGGCGCAAGTTACGAAGGTTGCGTTACGACAATCATCTTATGGACTGAGAAACGATTCATGGTAGAGATAGGTTTGCATATAACAAGAATTGATGCGGTAAATGTACAAAGGTATGGTAGGAATCTGAATATATTTCGTAATAAAGAGTGAAAATATAATTGAATATTTCTCTGTATCCTTAAGAATACACCTTCATGGAGAATATTTTGGATTTGACCCAAACATCCTCAGCTAGGAGAAACCTCATCGGGCCAACTATTCTGGGAAAATATAGAATCTGTCCTCAATTCGGTCTATTATGCTGTGCCTCTAAAATTTATGTATGATCTCAATGGTTTGAGCAGGAAATGGTCGTTTTGAGTGTTTTATAGGTGCTCTGAAGTATTTAAAAAGTCGCTTATCATTTAAAAACCAACTCTGAGTCTCCAAGACTCTAATGGATAACGATTCAGTGATCTAAGGCACTCTTCCTAATGTTCAAATTTTTTTCTGCATTGATTTCATGGTTTCCTTGCTGACCTTGGTCTGACTCCACAATTACCAGATGAGGAAGATATTAGTGAAATATATCCAACTTAGCTAATTGCATACTTAACAACTCAATTTGCGTTGGTTACGCGACTCATCATTTTCACATGAACTAAAAAAGTAGGAATTTAGACATACTCATACTATCAATCACGAATCTGACAGTTACGTGAACAAATGACTGTAGAAATCAGGATTAATCCGTGAAAAGATGGATAAATCGCGTAAGTATGAAGCGCTTTGGGAGCTACTACAGTCCAAAAACATATAGCTGAAGACTTTAGACTATGAGGTACCAAGACACACATATCTTTCTAGACATTTGACATATGGTGCAGGAAAGCGTTTTCGTTTTATGTGTGGTTCAGAACATCTATCATATGGACTACTTGAAACTGTGAACTGTCGGAAATAAGTCCATTGTAATCCTTTGAGTTTTGAAGCCAAATCCGATTCTATTTACAAACCTTTCTCTGAATTTTAAAGTCGCCGGTGAGAAGTGATTGCTCAGACAATACTTACTGAATAAAGCCGTTGTAGGATTTAATTCGTCCTATAAATCTAGTTTTATGACTTAGAACGTAATATTGGCGAGCACGGAGTCTGTCTGAAAGCTATAGTTAGAACGAAGACAACTTGGTTTTAAAATTTATCTGTTTGTAAACAAAAAAACAATTAGATTAGCACAATTAATAAGGAAATTAAAGTTACCAAGTGAAACGAGCAAACATACCGACCATTATGGCGTGTCTTACGAAAATGAATAAAACTGTGAAACACACCAATATAATAAGAGAATAATGTCCTTCAATTAGTAGGTCACTTACAACAAAGATTGCTTACGGACACGTCAGACCAGATCACGTTGTGAGCGCTTAAGTAACTATTTGATTAGTTAGTTATTGAAATAACTGACATTCCCCACCCACGCGGATACCACGTCTAGTCTCGTTACCTTTGCGCTCAGATAATTGGCCTCTTCCAGTAGGCACAGGTTCCGTATATCCTGGCTAATCTCTTCGGTTGCTGTCTTCAATCGAACTGTTCTAGCTCGGCCATCTGTACAATTGACCTGTCTAACTATAGCTTTCGGCTACAGATTTCTCGGTGGGCCAATATTGTTTACCAACACTGAGTCTTCCGGTTGTGGATTCCTTCTTATTGGTTTTATGATGCGTTCCCACATACTACCCAGGGCGTCAAAGATTAATGCTACGTACGACAAAACATTTCTTCTAGTTAGGTTTCCAGGAAACTCCCGATTTGTCCGTTCGGGCATTCTACTCTATCCCCAGCGTTCACATACTCATCTTGTTGGACTTGCATAATGTTTCCTTTGGCAAGATCTTCCTCGTTAATTGCACCTATCCTCAGAGTTCGTGAGTCAACTAGGGCAGTAGACATTTATAACCCAATGGGAGTATTAATCAACAGTAATAATAATAATGATATTTATTCTCAAATAACTGTAACTTAAAAGGGGCATGCCAGTTTACAGACTAGATCAAATTGTTACAAATGCTAACACATTTACTGCAAAAGGTATCTCAGTTGAATTAAGTATAAGAGTCATTTTCTGATAGCAAATTTGCACCATGTCACTGACAGAAACTGTATGATACAGCCACAATTTCAATAAGAGAGTACAAATAGAGACAGTGCACAGTAGGTTTCTTGGGTAGTTGGCTTAGATCAATCGTAAATTTGTTGAAAAAGGTCAATTGGAACGTGCTTGATACAAGCTGTGATCCAGACACGCATGTACATAGAGCGCATGTATATTAGAGGCGCTATGGATTTTACACTGTGAATAGGGTTCTGAAAAGGGAGAAAAGAGAGAGAGAAAAAAGGTAGCAGAGTGGCAAGTGTATATATGTAACCAAAGCACTACTTAACCTGTAATGTTGAAGTAGTCAGTACAGTGGTAAGTCAGGATAAAATTCATACTGACCACTAAAATTAAGTAAATTATAGGAATATAAGAATATAACCCACAAACGAAGGTATGCAGCGATTGGAAAGGAAGATTTGTAGATAATGTCAAGTGGATAGAAGAGAAGTTGAACTAAAAAGCTGGATGTGATGTGATGTGAACCGAATAGAACTTCCAATATCAGAAAACGAGATATTGTTACGAATGCACAATAGTCAATAACTCTACTATCCGAATTATTTGGCAAGTGATTTTTGCGTTTTCATTAGAACAAAATAACAGACTATTACGACCTATTATCATTATGTACACAAACAGAAAGTATCCCAGTATTTGAAAAAAGGTTATTATCCAGAATATTTGGAACGACTGAAAAAAAACCTATCACTTTTACGAAGAGAATGCAATTGGTAAAACGGAAACATTTATTATTATATCCAATTGTATTAATCACTGTTTTATTATCCTCAATTTGTTTAACTGTAGTAAAAACCATTACTTACACACTTAACATGTTGCTAACGTTGCTCGGTTGCCTCGGTGGTTTTTATCTGCGCTTATTACAATATCTCAATATCTTTTCGACATCATGAGATTATCAATCAATACACCTCGTCCTCTAATAACAGGTGGACCTTTGATTTTTGGCCTAAACAGAATTTCACTTCTTTACTCGCTATAAGTAGTCTCCGTTTGCCACAACTTCAACAGAACCACTTACTTACTGGCTAGGGAGCATGGGTCTAAGCTGTTTAATACGATATCTTATATATTATGCGGTATAAAATCGCTATCATACTTTTTATTTATTTGCTCATAAATCTGCAGTTTATATCTGTGTATTATTGTCATCGAAAGTCAAAATTTTCAGAAGTTTAGGGTTAGTGTGTGTAGAATTTATTTCGCCAGCGGCTGTCCTAATCGCGTCCAATAGAAACACACCGGTACGATTCTCCTAGATCCCCGTCCCAGCCAAATCAGAAAGCCGAAAATTCTAGGAGAAAACCGTCTCTATTGTTATAAAAAATGGAAATACAGAGACTTACGATGTTTATGTTTCTTCCAGGACTAAATTACTCCGTAGAGTATCTATTACAATAGCTAGTAAGTGACACTAAGTTCAGCAGCCACTGCGTCTATCCAAAAATGTGGCGGTAGCCATATTATATCAAATTTAAACAATATATGTACAATTCAGAAGCAAACACAAAAACTTCAATATAGGTACAAAATATGGAAAGAATAACGACATACAATGGTAAAATCTCAAATTGGAATCAAATAAAATACCAAAAATGTCAAGAGAAAAAGTCCATCAGGTCATGGCAAGAATATGTAAACATGGAGGGATTTTCCCAAAAACAAAACATTCAAAAAGAATTCTACAGTGTGCTTGAAATAATGTAAAGGACCCTAATGTAAGATTTGATTTGAACTTCCTATCAAGAAATCCTATAACTAGCAGATCTGGACAATTATACTGATAAAAAGAGCTCACACTTTACTTCTTGAGCTACTGAGTTAAAAAGAAAAAGAAAAAAATAAAATATCACAAAAGCATCAGATAATTGTGACTCAATAATATATACTGTAAATCAACATTATTGCTAGCAGTTTGGTTATTCTAAATTTCCTCTATTCATGCAATTAATTGCCCATTCCTTATATTACTAGTGAATTATCTTCATTAACCTAAGTAAGTGCAGGTGTACATTTTGCGTTCTATTTTTAAAAACTATCTGCTGGGTCATTGTTCGCTTTTAAACATGAATGTTTTCTGTTCTGCTCCTCGCCTCATTCTCTTTATTTCTCTTTTTCATCACCTTATTGCAATTCTTAAATATTCGTTTAGATATTTGCTGAAGACTTGTTTAATTTACCTAGGAGCCTGCAAATTTATTCAATTAATAATATCGACCAGATCTTAGCACACTCACCTCCATTCTTGTTTAATGCAGTCCTGACTCTACCTTGAATTGTTTTGCAGTCATTATTAGTTCGTCGTAACGCGACCGTTTTAAATCGTACCAATTATTCGCATTGTACATTGCAGACCATCTATATGAAGCTAACGTATCTTGTGAAATATTTCAGTAACTGTTAGCAGTCTTAACATTTCGATCTTGCCAGTAAATTGACATGCCTCTTTTAACATTTTGTTATTTGTTGTTTCGAAGTGATTGGAGAGGCTTTCAGATGAAGCTGGTTGTCCAATTACAGGCAAACCCTAAGCATTTGTTTAGGTTCATGACAAAAAGAAAACATACGAATCAGGGTTTTTGTTCTATTAAAGGTCTAAATGGGGAAGATTTCACCAACCTAGAGATGGCTGAGATCTACAACACAAACTTCATTGATAATTTAAACCAGGCATCCACATGTTCAGAGCACTTCGCAAACCCACTGCTAGTTGACGGTCTAGGTAATATCTGCATTACTCCTTACATAGTATTAAGGAAAGTTACCAGGTTGTGACAATATTCGCCATATCGTCTTGGAATAATATGCAGATATGTAAAGTATGTGTGACCTGTTTCGGCATTTACTGGAGTCACACCAACGAAAACAAGAGACTCTTTCTCTAATCTCCAAAGGATAAGAAGGACCCAGCCTGTTACAGACCTGTCGCATAACTACCAATACTATCAAACGTGAAGGAAAGGCTGGTGAACGAACAGATGAGGGTGTACATTGATCGGAATAAAACACTCCATGAAGCTAAACACGGGTTTAGGAACGACAGGTCGTGTGCTTCTAATATTCTCATAGCATGGGACAGTTGGGCATCCTGCGAAAGCCTTCGACACAGTGCATGCCTTATAATAAGGGTTGCGGAAATAGGCTTCAATGACCCATTCCAATCTTGGTTCAGAAACTGTCTTGAGAATAGAAAGTTTCGTCCCAAAGCAAATAGAATGCACGCCAGTTGACGAGTCTCAGCATCAGGAGTTTCACAAAAGACCATCTTAGGACTACTTTTCTTCCTGATACTCATTAACGACCTGTTAGACATGGTTAGCTCGATGGCACTGACGATGCATAGATCTGTAGGTTCATTATACTAAGCTTGAAAAGGACCTTACATTTATTAAGGAATGGGCAGTGAAAAAGGGTTTAAAACTAAACCAAACGAAGTGTTACGTCATATACATACCGCCCCACATGACGCAAACTATTTACACCCTCGATGGAAGTCCGCTCCCTAATGTCTCATCAGAGTGCGATATCGGTTTGATAACTACTGAAAGCCTCCACACAATCCTGAACTATATAGGGGACGCAGCCAGTGCTAATGCAACTCTTTGCTTTAAGCGAAGACAACTTAGTGCTATCACCCTAGAATTATTCCTAACACTGTTCAATACAAATGCACGCCCACACCTTGAGGTTCACAACGTCGTCGCATCCCTCTCCTTGAATTTTACAAATGTCTTGTATCAAATGCAGAGAAGAGCAACGAAACGGGTGATAGGTTTGAAGAATAAAACGTACGAAGACAGAATCCAGGACTTCGTATTATTCTCCTAGAGTCATAGGAGAGTAAGACATGATCTCATTATGGCGAGCGACATGCTGAGCAGGCCAAACCATCCCAGTGTAGGCATTTTACCGATGCATCACCACTTTTCCCCTCGAGGCAATCTTCGAAAAATGGCGCGTCAAATGGCGAATACTCAAGTTCGCGCACACTTTTTGTCTTTTAAATTTGGAATCCTCTCTCAGCTGAAGTGACCGCAGCTCCTCCCAGTGGACATCTTTAAGAAGAGACTCGATAATTACACGCTCACATACGGATTATTATCTATAGGGGAGACGATGCATGTCTTGAGACCTGCTAGTTGTTATCATTGCCATCTGCTCAGATCACCAACCTAATTTATCTCGCCTATTATCTCTGTTTCCTCTCCCTTTTTTACATTTCGGTCCTCCGGCAAAATCTTCACTACCAATTAATAAACTAAATTGTCTGTTTATAATACTTCGTCCGGAAATCGTATTTTTATTGGCAGATTAATTTTCTCTTTCTTATTCTCCACAATGCATAAAACTGATCTATAATCTGGTAATGTGATAGCTGTTGGTATCCAGAAACCTTACTGCTCTAAAACAAACGTTTTCATTGTAATCACGTGACATACAAACTCACAAACTACTTTTGATAGAACAGTGAGAAGATGTAATTGATCTGTAAATGTGATGTATTTGCCTTATACATTTAGAACAATCTGGTCACACATATTTACTTGTCAAGGCATTTTCTATGAAGATGAATAAAAGGTCAATTAAATGACAGTTCAAATAGACATAGGGTGATAAATGTAAATAAGGGAGAGAGAAAATTAACGGACTATGAAAAGAATAAGAAGGAAAATTGTCACATTACCCTAGTCTTAAAGATTACCAAGGTGAATTTTCATTTTACGTTCATTTTCTCTATCCTTTATATACAATTATCATATGTCTATTTGAACTGTCATTTAATTGACCTTTTATTCATCTTCATATAAAATGCCTTGACAAGTAAATATGTGTGACCAGATTGTTCGAAATGTATAAGGTAAGTACATCACATTTTTCAGATCAATTCTGTCTTCTCACTATTCTATCAAAATTTATAAAAGGGACTAATTGTTTTAAATCAAAAACAACTACTAACTGACTAGACATAGACAATCAAGTGGCTAAACTCAGATTCATTGTGCACTACCAAGTACCTGTAACCGTACTGAAAAAACAATAATCGAGCTCGAAGACATCAACTCATTCATACTAGCTCGTTAAAAAAGTATTGGATATATTGGATATTGTATATAGGGTGAAGTATTTGAGGGGAACGTTACTTGTCATTATATTGCGTCATTGATACATGTAAACAGACTAACAGGGAGCATTAACGTTGTCCTAACCTTATCGTTTAATGGATTTATCTTTTCGTACAAGTCAAGCATTACGAATAAATCCCTAAAAATTGTTAGATATACTAAAGGAACTATACGTCATAGTCTATATCGTAAACTTAGAGAATTATCCTTATGTAGTATTGCCTATTAAGCGGTTCATAGTACATAATTTTAATGTTTTCAGTTGTTAACATCAGACATAGTGGTTTGATTAGTTCAAGTTAATCCTTGCAGTAAGTTTTCGCTGGAGGTTTAGCTCCCTCCTAAAACTACTGACGAATTTGGCTATCATCTATTCTTTTGATATAGTGTTTCTGTCGTTTACCATTTTTCTGTAAGAGCAGGATCAATCAAGATTTTTTTGGTCTTCTCTTCCTGATATCCGTTTTTGTGAGTACCCCATGTAATTAGTCATTGAGAGTATATATATATATATAGTTTAAACATCTTTCGAAAGTCCTGTCAAGTGACCATGATCCAAAGAAGTGTGTCTCACAGTCATTCATAATGATGACATGGTATAAACTCAATGACAGACTGAGCTCCTCCTGTAGGCCCTCCGGGGCTACTTCCGGTCCCAAGCCTGGACAAAGGAGGAGGGTTGGGGTTGGCGACACCATCCTGTAGAAAACTAACTCGCTAAAACAACGCTAAGAAGTAAAAATAATACAAACCATTTAAATTGCTCTGGGAGTTAGGTCTTCATTTAGAAGGGTTATGATGTCTCATGATGAAAGCAGAGTTCCTTCGGAAGTCATGAGGCCGATGCCCCTCTCCACAACCCTCCCATGATGTGGGCAGCCGGTAAGTAACATCCGCTCTCACCCTTAAAAGTACACGAGGTCAAGTCAGTCAGAATTAAGTCATTTCTCCACCTCCTACTAACTCTCATATCTCCACGGCCAACTGTTCTTTCAATAGTTTATCACCTAGCGCCACTAAAGTAAACGGTTCGAGCTCACGAAAAGTTATTCCTGGCTTCCTGAAACCCCGTTCTATATTACATTTTGTAGCTTTTAATATTCGAACCTTTCGCTAAACAGGGCAACAGGCTTCATTAGCTAGAACTCTGGAATCGCGTGTAATTGAAGTATATTGCGTCTCCGAAACGCGCATACAAGATCTGAGTAAAATCATCAATTTGATTTCACGTAGTGCAGACAGAGAAACTACACGGTTTACTCTTTGTGTATCTGGAAGCCTTGATGCTGCTTCCCGGCGTCTCGCTGGTGTAGCTATAGAATTGAGTCGTAGAACTGAACAATCTCTCCTTGACGAGTTCTCAGTAGATAGTCGCTTGTGGGCTATCCGACTAATCGGGACAGTAAGGACTCGGGAAGATAGGGACACTCGCCGTTGCCTTCGTGGTATCTGCCTACGCTCCCACTGACTGCAGTTCAGATGAGTTTTACAGGAAGCTTTCGCATCTCCTCCAAAAAGCTAGGCGCTCTGATGTAGTTTTAATGGCTGATGACTTCAACGCTCAAGTAGGTAGACTTAGTGAAAATGAATGATGGTAGATGTTATAGAGTCGCGGCTCAGAGAATAGATAATGGTGACCGTCTATTGCAACTGTGCTCAGATAACCCGCTTTTTCTAGCAAACACTAACTTTAGGCATAAGGAAAAGCATCTTTTGACTTTGCGACCCCAGAAGTCGTCCCAACGCTGGACCCAACTAGATCATATTGCTATCAGCCAGAGATGGAAGGGTTCGATAGAAGACTGCCGCTCGTTCTGGAGCACATGTTTAGATTCAGATCATGCTCTAGTGCGAGCTCGTATTTGTTTGCGACTTACTGGACGTAGGAAAGACACCTCAAGTTAACATCTTAGCGTTCTACTTATTGAAAGCACAGCCAAGAATATATTTCAGGAACAACTAGAAAGACAGTCAGGCGGTGGTGTAAGTGATTTCCATCCGGAGGTATTTTGGAATGACATCAAAAAGGCTGTAGAAACAGCAGTGATATCTTCTAGTAAGGTAAAGCATAAAGCCAGAAAGCAGCCATGGATCTCAGTAGCATCCGCCAAACTGATAGACGCTCGTAAACTCATCCCGCTTGGCTCTGAACATGATGAAGAGCGAAGTCACATTAAGCGCAGAATGATAAATAGCGTAAGAAACGACAGCGAACAGTGGTGGGTGGCGAAAGCAAAAGTGATGAAAAAGGCAGCGGCAACTGGCAGCGGTAGACAACTTTTCCTCCTTATGAGAGAAACTGGTATTAGAAATCCGACTGTGAGATTATTTCGGAAAAGGATGCGTCTATTATTCATTCTCAATCCAGGAGATTGGATTGATGAGCAGAGCACTTTAGGGATAAGTTCAACTGGCCTCGAGCCACACTTCGGTTGCCCACGATCTTCAATCAACCTCAATGGCAAATCGACGTGAGTGTCCCTAGTCTTTATGAAGTTGATAAAGTGATGGGAAATCTAAAACGAGGGAGAGCTGCAGGGCCTGACACGCTTACCCCTGAAATCTTTAAGGATGGTGGTCCAGTTCTAACAGCTAGATTGACTGGAATCTTAGGTAGAATCTGGGAACTGGACGTAATCCCATCTGACTGATCGCAATCACTGATTGTCCCAATTTATAAGAAAAGATAAAAATCCTCTTGTGACAATCACAGAGAAACCAGTTTAACTAATATAGTGTCTAAATTGTTAGCCTCGATAATCCCATTCGAATTTAATGGGAATTCATTTTCTCATAACTGTCTAACAGTCCTCCGCGTTAGCCAGTCAGCGTAAATTTTTTGAAGCTATACTTTCACTTACAGTATTTACTGGCTTAGTATTTTAGTTGAGTTAGTTTACAAACTTTGATTTTAGCTTACTTAATCTCACCAACTTATCACGAGAAAGCCTTATTTATTAACCTATTCCCAATCTATCACGTGTGTTAATATATCGTTCGTTATAAAGTTTAACCAGAAGCTATTAATTAGGTGAATTAGTCACCAAATAAAATCGTAAACACTCGTTGGATTTAGTCGCGGTGACTTATTTATTCCGAACAACCGACTTACTTAGTAGCTGAATAAATTCCAAAACTGAAAACTCCGTTGTAGTGAAATCAAAGCTTAGCAATTCACGAAATCAGTCGGTAGTAATTGTATGTTGAAGTAAGTTAAATGAGAAGAGAAGAAAATAGCTTGGTGACGCTGAGGGTCGGGATAGTTGACTTTCTCTCGAGAGAGAGAGATGCTGTCATACAACCAAGAGTTCGATGAACTCTGCCTGATAATCTCTACATACCGCCTTCACATGAAGCGGTGTTGCTAACAAAAATTACAAGTAGAAAACGAACATCTAGCGGAAGCCTTTGTTGTCACTCATTCTTTGTGATGTTCCGTTAGAAAAGACCGAAACGTTCGTGTATCTGAATAGTTCTATGAGCATTAAAATAGTGACAAAACAAATAATATCTGTTTACTCATATTAAAATCTTAAGTAGCTTGCACTAGTCTGGTCTGTCTGTAAAATCATTATGATCCTAACCTACCTGTAAGAGGTCAAGTTAAAAATATGCTGGTGAGTGCAATTTTGATTTCTGCTTCCAGAACAGGACCTCTAAATAGAGTACGTTTGATAATTCTTTTTGTTTGGCCATCCATGTCTCCGAAGGGTTGGTGACTTCCAGTGCCAGCGCTAAAGTACAATAAGATATGTTCAGGCACTATGAGGACGATCTGGTTGGTGTCAATATCTTGAAATGCTGGCTTCATTAGCGTGTATACATTCTGTGAATGTCATACTCACTATTTTCACATCGTGGATTCTTTTCCGACCCTGGGAGCTTCCTGAACTAAACACATTCTCTCTTGATTGTATTTTTAACCTGACTGAAAATCTTAATATGTCTCATTCTTGTTCACTTATCCTTTTTCTGATCACATGCCTTCTCCATTACTTGTTTCTTCACAACTATTTCTTTAATTTGTGTGGCATATATTATTTTTCATTACTGGGTATTACTAGATTTTATGTGAATTGAATAAATAAATCAATGATAGCTGGGGTTTTTGAAATGCTTTAACTTTTAGAGTTTAAAAAATGAATGCGATCATAAAACTACTAAGAAAAACAACATATAAGTCTATTCAGTTCTCACATTCATTCCTTAATCATCTATATTACTATAAATAGCTCGAACAGTTATAAAGTTGCTAATATTGGTTAGGATTTTCGGAATTTTACCTTCATATACATTATTCAGATAAACTGTGAGGTTATACATCTTCCGATTTAAAATAATGTTTATTCTGTATATTGCAGGTTAACTTTTGATTTGCCTTTTTTATAACTGTTTCATCACTTCATGTCATATTGATTTTAGAAAAAATTTTGATCTCTTAGCTAGTGGTTGATTCTCAAAAGATTATATTCAGCAGTCTCATATACAATCATGGTATTTGTCAGTAAGTGTTTCATTGAAATTTAACTTGTACTTAAGGTTGGGCCACTGATGGATTAAGGATATACGAATTAGATGAAAATAAAGGAATAATTCACTTGGAACAGTAAGCTTGAATATTCTCAATAAATAATTTTTTTTAAGCAAACCATCTACAACTCTGAAATGTTTATCCATCGCAAAGTCAAGCATGCGCGTGGGTTACCTTGATCAAACTGGGTAAGGATTATTCAATTTTGTCTTATAAGTTACAGAGTGGTTCTTATTAATGCGAACGACTGTTCTACCATTTCCACTATTCCTGTTGATTCAGCTTTACGCATCCAACTATCACCTTGTGGTAAGTTTGGATTCATATACACGTCATTCAAAAGTAAGTTTTATTCTTTAGTTTGTAAATTTGATCTTAATGAACAATAGTGGACAGTGAAAATCCATCTGGTTTACCAAATGTATTTGTATATGATATGGTCAATGGAATAAAATTGAAAGAATATATTTTCCGACGAGGTGATGGATGGTAAGTTGATATATACTATATATATGAATAATGCATACTATTCAATACAATTAAAATTAGTTTTTCTAACGCAAATTAAAATACAGCTGATTGTTTATTTGTAATTCGTTGAGCTATAACAGTCAGTCAGTCAGTTGCAACGTAGAACTTGGTACGTAAGTACATCAGTTCATGTTGCCCCATACCACATAAGCACAGAGATGTAATTGTCAATTCAAATCCAATAGTATTAGAGGTAGTAAGGGAATTAGAAGTAATCGGAGAGGTTAGAATTAGAAGATATTATTCACGAAGTATGATTCAATGAGATAAGTTTAGAAAGTAAAAACTAGAGGTGTTGAAGAACCCAGAAGATTAGGATTTGAGAGAACACAAAGAATAAATGCACCGGCGCCATTGCGAACGATTTTGAGCTATAACACATTTAGTTTATCATTCTTCTTACGAAAAATTAGTCATTGAACCACTTTTTTTGCTCAATAATATAACTGAATTGTTGTTAGCAAAGATTTGTATGTAGTACACATATTATTGTTAACTAAGATTATAGCAAATAAAAAATGTGACCTCCTTTATTCCAATATATATATAACATACATTATAGCATACTTCATTTCTAATGGTATTCTTGCATGTCAGTTAAATTATAGACCAGTTATTTCCTGGATTATATTATCTATACTTGACGTATTTATTCTAAAGAAAGAAATAGAGTGTTGAAAACTGTTTGCAAATAAATAAAGTGTATATATGTACAGACTCGCACAAATCAAGAGTTGTATGTGAGATTATAGGTGTTTCTTGCGTTGTAGAAAGTCAACTATACGCAGTGTTGAACTTTACGTGTGTGTTTATCAGTTCAGGTTGGCGCACTCCATTAGTACTTCTAGATGGAATCACAGAGTCTTAAAGATAGCAATAAAACTAGTGATAAGAAAAAAGTTTGGACGTAAAAAATATGAATGAGTGCAATAATAAAGATTTTATAAGATAGTTCGGGAACTTGGAGTCTAAGGCAAGACAAAAAGTTAATTCAGCTATCCTATTACAAGTGATTTTGAAGTATTATATCCAATGTCTTTAACGACTTGTGGATTCTAACCAGGTAGTCGGCATCTATCCGAATGGCTCATTTTAACAATTAGTGACTTCATGAACTGATGTTACATTTTGTTTGCTCACTCCTATCTTCCAACCTACTCTTTCACTAGCTATTGTTGCCCGTTATGCAGTTAAAGGGCATATATAATACATGTATGTACAAACCATCTTAGTTGATAGATATTCATTCTTATCTAGTACTCTGTATCTCATTTCAAAATTGTCAACTCAGTGTTCCTAACATATGTGACCAATATTTCGAAGGAATATGTAGCCAATTATTAGTGACCTACAAATATCCTTTGGAGGATTCCATGATGAAAAAATTATTATCATCAGATAGCCTAAATAAAGTTTTAATTCCTTCAGCTTTCTAATGTTTGCTAACATAAACGTTTTCCTAGTATAAACTAACTTGTTTCTATTGGTGTGATCTTACTAGGCTATTTGTAAACCAAACTCAAATAGGTAAATTAAATGGACCACTGAAGTATTCCTTGATAAGGCTACGTTTTACCGAAAGTGTGTATTGACAAACATCAGTGTGTGATTTCATCATCCACTTGTCAGCATGATAACTTTTCTCTCCTTTATATAATCATTTATTCCCTCATCATATATCATTTTACTAGGCAACCACAATGGAATTCAGACTCATCGTTTTGCTCAATTTTCGTCAATGGAGAAATTCATATGTATACAAACAATCAATTTTGTAAGTTTTCGTGTGAAAATTGCATTTAATTTTGCTAGATCGGTCAACTTTTGTTACAGTAGTAGTGAAATTAGTCACTAATCCTACAAACGGATAGCAACCGTCTCTTCACTGTTGATCAGTTTCTAGAGGTACTTCTCAGAGTTCAAGTGCGATGCCATTAGACGATATCGTGAATTGGTCAAATTTAGAAGTGTAAAACTTTGTTAAAACAGTTTACATTTTGAATTGCGATATAAAGTCCTGAATTAACCCAAAGTAAACATTTTACTTATCGCACAGCAATCGACTGTTGGTTAGTCACACTTTCTCTACCAAATATCCTAGGATTTCGAAACACTAAATCATATACTACAGCTTGATTCGAATTAAAAGTAACGAGTAGTACTTTAGAAAACTTGCCAATTTCTTCAATATGATATTTGTCGTAATATCGCAATTAATTCCTTCAAAGAACTGTCGAAAATCCCTACAAATAACTTTTATTTCATCATTTATTGATACAGTCTTGATTTTCGTGGTACTGTCGCTCTTGGCTTTTATAAATTAAATCTTTCCCACGGACAAGTACTGAATGGTCTGTGTAACTCAGTCTGTCTAATCCTGTAGACATTTTCAACCAAAAATTCTTTTCTCGAGTTTTGTGTACTATCAACTTATTTTAGTTATAAATTTTATACTACTAGTGAGTAGGCTAATATTTACCTAGTTATTTGTCAACGATAGGAATACCCCGAAATCCTAAAATTTTGTCGAAAATGGAATTACAAATACTTAATTCCTGATTTTTATGTTTCGGTGGTTCGCATTTCAGATACGTTCGTATAATCCGTCAACTAAAGTGAACTACAGAGATGCATGATGCTGACTGACATTTACGGACTTTGTTTCTAAGTAAATATATTATCAGTTCATTGGAATAGCTAAGGAAATAGTGAGATGGCATTTTTAGTTGTTGTTTGTCTTTTCGAAAAGATTTGATTTAGATCATAGAATACAAAATGTCCCAACTATTATCTCATTTATCAGAGTCAAATTTTTATGATAAGAGGTTAATTGAAATCCGATTATATTACTGTAATCCGGTGAATACCATAAAAAAACAGTTGCAAATTCATGTCAATGAATATAGTTTTCACTTCATTTATACATTCTATTGAATGGTATGTAGATCTTACTGTATTACTTGACATATATTTTTGATTTGCTAATACATGTTTGTGCATTCTCTGAAATTTTTATGTAATTGTTTGGTTTGTATATCTAGAAAGAATTATTCAAAGTTTGGATACCAAATATGATTCAGTGCATTTAAACATAGCTTTGTAGCGAATTAATTATTGATAAGAAAGTCCTAAAATTTCACCATATATTCTCGTTTTTTTGTTTATAATTCCCATAACTTCTAGTCTTTGTCAACTTACTTACTTACATACTTATGCCTGTTACCCCCGATGGAGCGTAGGCCGCCCACCAGTTTTCTCCAACCAACTCTGTCCTGAGCTCCCCTTTCTAGTTCTTTCCAGTTTTTGTTCTCATATCTTTCTCTATTTCTCGGAGTAATGTGTTCCCCGGCCTTCCTCTTTTCCTTTTACCTTGAGGGTTCCATGTGAGGGCTTGTTTTGTGACGCAGTTCGGTGCTTATCTCATTGTGTGTCCTATCCACTTTCACCGCTTCTTCCTGATTTCCTCCTCCACTGGAATCTCACTTGTTCTCTCCCACAGTACGTTGTTGCTGATAATGTCTGGCTAACGAATCCGAAGTATTTTGCGTAGACAACTGTTAATAAACACTTGTATCTTCTGGATGATGGCTTCCGTAGTTCTCCAAGTTTCCGCACAGCAGTAGTGCAACTCCTTGTGTATGTGAAGCATTTTCCTCTTCATGACCAGAGTATAACAGCAGTTCCCCTGAAGCTAGTCTCAGTTGTCCTACCTGTGCCCAATGCGTTTCACTGATGCCGAGCACCTCGAGGTTGTATCTTCTCATTTCTACCGCAACTTGAAATAGTCTTCCAGTCTCCCACAATGTACGAACGTTCCATGTACCTAAAAGAATGGTTGCTCTGGTTGTCAAAAGAGGCATCAGCCCCGTGACTTCCGAGGGAACTCGGCTTTCATCACGCGACGTCATAATTCTTCTTCCAACTCCCAGAGCAGAGTTAAAATGGTTTGAATTATTTTTTCTGGTTAGCGTTTTTTTGGCAAGTTAGTTTTAGTTGGGATGGGGGCGCCAACCCCATGTCCAACCCTCCTCCTTTAACTGTAATTACATGTTTTCACAGGTTACAATAATTACTGACAGCTTATAATTATCACAGTCGAAAAAAATATTACTATTCAGTTACACTGAATAAGAATATTATTAGAAATATACGGATTAATTTTCACCAAAAACAACTGAATTCACATGTGTCATACTTTTTCTTACCTTATCTTTTATAAACAATCAAAACAAACATTAGTTGTGAACTAATTTATGTGTACCCTTATGACACATACACTGTTATGCAATAAAAACTATATTACATGAAGAATATTGTGTATTTTATGTGTTTATTAGAAGTGGTTTAAGTCAATCAGTCATAATGTAAAACTCGGTACGTACGTACTTATACTAATCCAAATTGTCATATCATATTAGCACAGAGAGATAAAATTGTCAAGTCAAATCTCATATTAGTAAAGAAGTGATTTATTATGTAGGCGCAAATTTTATACATATTTTCACTTATTCAATATTCAAATTTTGTCTGATCAATTAAAAGTTGTAAATATAGTTTCTGTAATAAAATTAGATTTTTTTGATGTATATGTATTTATAAAATGATCAATACTTATTTTCATTGTGCACATCTCTGACTCACAATCAAATTAAATTTCCCGGTAAAATTTGTTTAAATAAAATCGCCTAAAATGTATTAAATTTCTAGAAGACATTTCGAATGTTTTGTTTTAATTTGAAAGTATCTTTGTGCATTCATTGAAACATCTTTATTTTTTTTTTGGTTTAGCTGAAAAACCATGTACTAAATTATCATTAAAAGGTATTCGACATTTTTCTATGAGTACTTCAATTCATCCAAATCTTGCTGTGTATATACCTGGAGAAAAGGTAACATGAAAAAAAAAACGATACATTCATATGTATAATGTACTTTGTTTTTTCTTGATTGATATCATTTGTATACTGTTGAATCGTTTATTCAAGTTGTTTAGTAAATAATTTCTTAGAATAATCTAACATATGGTACTCGTTGATCACCATTGTTACCGGTGTGTGGTGGTTTAAGGATCTACTACTACTTATTCGAGGAATTTTAAGGATTTTTTACTGAAAGTCATTCCTCAGTCATTGTGCTTGTTACTAATGTTTGCGCTGTATTAGTCATCGGTATTTTCGTAACATCTAGTGATTGTAGACTATTGTAATACGCCTAAATCAAGTCACTCTTGGAGAATATGAGTAGTTTCGTGTATTTCGCTATTATGATCTTGAATATGATATAGGATATCTATCCGTTAATGGTCAGATTTCTCCATTCTTTTTTTTGTGACATATGCAAAGGAGAGGATCATGAGTTGTTTGAAGGATGTAGTATGACCATTTTCAAAAACTTATCCAATTCTTCCTTGGTTATCTCCATTTTATTTGGATCCAATCTAAGTGGGTTTAGCACTGATGGGTGAACTCTCTGTGATACCTTTTGTATGCCCCCAGAAACCTTACTAGTAAGTTAGCAAAAGCGTGTTGAGGTCTGTCTCCTACTTTCAAATTGACAGACGCTGAGTTGATAATGACTTCTCTAATCATCGTTTTTCCATTGGGAGTAATTAACTGGTGACGCTTATGATTTACTATTAATTTCAAATGTAAAACGTTTATCTTGATGATGGGTATAAGTGCGTTTGCAACAATAAGCTTCCACCAGAACGATCTACCGAGACCAAGATTTAATACCAACTGTCTTGTTTTACTATCTGATTTGTTTGCAACATACAAAACTACTTTTTTTTAAATCTAGGCTGTTTTTGCTTGGTGTGTGCCACAATACGTTTACTAAACATCCTTCAGTCGCATTCTGTTAGGGAAAGGTTCGTCCACTAATCAGCTCTTTGTATGCTACCCGGCCTATTAGGCGTGGTCATTAAAACTGGAGGTCATAATTATTCAATCATCAATTACTTAGTGGAACTACCAGGGTTAGTGGGACTACGAAAAGGCAATCTTAAGTTCCGTTTCAAATAAACGTGGCTAATGTACTTTGTTGAAGACATCCAAGAATGATAAGACTATAATCTGGTATCATTTCTTATAGTCACTAACTATTGATCTAAGTTGTATAAAGGTATAGAGACTTCTTGAACAAAGAATTTTTAATTTATAGCTTATATTATTAGGCAGTAAAAGAAGCCGTGCGTTTATTATGCGATATTATTTATGTAAGTATTTAATCTACCTTAAAAATTTCTAATATTTTACTTTCTTACTATTTTTTTCCCCCAATAGAGCCTACCTTCTTTTGTCAGAGTTTATCAATGCCGTGATAATCAGCTAATTCCTACAGCGAATAAATCATTTTTTCGTGCTGATACAGTCCGACTACTATGGAATGATAAAGGAACTGATTTACTCATACTTACTTCAACAAAAGTAGCATATTTTATTATTATAAATATTATTTTAAAATTTTATTAAATGCCAGATTATTTGTTTATTTAACCTTTAATATGTTGTTGACGATTTTGTGGAAATTCTTGCATTTCATAGGTTATATTCACACACACATTGACTTTGACATTAATAAAAATAATCACGTGCTTTTTAGTGATTAATGATGTTAAGAGATATTTTCTGGAGTTCTGATAAGAAGCTGTGACCAACAGTGTGCGTATTTGCGTTGAATGTTAAACAGAGAGTTACTCAACAATAGCATGGAATGATAGTTGTATAGTGTCAAAAGTCAATCGAATTTAGAAAGATAAGCGCCTGTTAAGTAACCCCAAGATTGTGATGAAATCGTGAATACAATCTGCCTAAGAGTCATGTGCTAGGTACATACTGGATTTCACTGGTTTACAAATCAGCTATGAGTTGTGATGTATAGGTGATCTTTCTTCATGTCTTTTCCTACGGGTTGTTTCACTCTGGACCTATTTTCTTCTAAATCAATGACCGAAGATAATTTTTCAACTCTCAAATGACCTTAGTTGACGAAAATCAGATTCAAAATAGTGGTTCCCCTTGATAAATTTGAATAGAGAAATAAGAAGACATATTTTGTGAGATAGTACCATTTCGTGCTTTCTCGTCAGTCACATACAAGCAACATGTTATTTGTGTAAATACAGTTTTGAAGATAAGGTCAAAATTTCTTATTTAGCATGACATTCACTCACTAGAACCATGGTAATCAGATTTCTGAAATAAAAATAATAGAATTATTTATATTTTCTATCCTTTTACTGATTTATGTTTACTTTAGGAAATAATTTACTGGATTAGTAAAGTCCTGTGTATCAATCACATTATCTTAAATTTACTACTGCCATAGAGGGTAAATTTAAGACGATATTCCTTCCAGCTTTAACATATTAGTCCATTGTATTTCTTTTTTGAGTTTAGATTAACCTGTTATCCATATTTCTACTGAAATTTGATCACTTTTCGTTGTCATATGGGCATCCTATGCGTTTTGCCTTGATATTAGCCATTATGACCCACAAATTTCTATAGAATAGATGGAATTTGGCCCGCAGCAGAATTTAAAAACTTGTGTTCTAGATTCTGTTTCTATATAAATTGAAATGTTTACCGGCTTAGTGAACTAAAGATTAAGGTGTTTACGCGCGAGACCTAATGTCTTTGGTTCAGTTGTCGCGAGAGGGTATCGTAGAGTTGCGCCCTGTTGATGAGTCCCATACTAGAACGAAACGGTCATCTAGTGCTTCCAGATTTCTGTTAGTGGTCTAAAAATAATCGATTCATGATTTCAATGAAACTCAACAATCTTCACAATTCTATGCTGAAAATGAAATGAGTTTTTATTCAGGACATCTCTATAGGCATAAAAAGTTATATAATCTGTTTCTTAGTAGCCTAAGAATTTATACAATAATCCAAGGAATGAAATCTATTTTCTCAAGTTCCTTATATTTACTGACATATATTTTATCTCCTAATTTATAATATTTCATTAAGATTTATAATCATTTTCATTATAAGATTTTTTTTCCTACGTTTCAAGTAGAACTTGTCTTTCAACATAAATTACGCATTCCAATCTTTATAGAATAAGTCTAAACTAAAATTTAATATACCAAGTTGTAATTAATGACCATATTACGTTCTTTCTTTGTTATAACGGCTTTGCGGTTCTATACCTTTTGTTATAAATTACACAAAGCACGTGATCTATTCAAAATATTTGCATCTTCATAAATCAACAGCATTCCACACTATCTTCACATACTTCTTTATGGTTAATAGAAACTTGGAACCATTCATTGAATAGACTGCAAATATTAAATAGTTGTAATATGGTGGTTTCGTTGGTTGGCAGTGATTACTTCACAGTTTACTACGATCCCGACATCCCGACACTTAGGATGGTAACGGTTATGTGTATTAATTAGTGTAACCGAAAGCATCACACAAAAATATGTATGACATAGTTCTTCAAGAACGTAAATAGTTTATTTTATTTAAAAGCTTTTCTGAAGATTACTTTGATTTATTAGTGGTATTCATTAAAACAATGAAAGAACCATTGGAAACTAGGACTTATTCGAAAAATTATACTGTTCTGTGTTACATTACTGATATTACGACTCCATCAACAATCAGACTGGGGCCTTCAGATCCGACGATGAACACCTAACTTTTAGATCATTGAGCTTAATATCTAGGAATCCATGCTTAAACCTTGATCTTGTTTTTAATATCGTAGATTTAAGACTGCTGATGAGTCATATGCCAAGACGAAACACCTGTTCAGTGTTCTCTAATATATTGCAAAAATAATTTATATAATATCATTGCATGATAAATACCATCTTCAATTATACATCTCAATTGCTTTAATAACTTTCAAAAAATCAACGTTACTTCACCGTTGTATAGATAAGTTTTTATTTGATCGTTTAACATTGTTTTATGTCATAATTTAGCCAACCACCTTTTCGATACAATACCTACTTTCATCGTGTTCAATAATCGCTCATAGATGTATACTCTCATGTAAAAAAAAAAGATAACATGTGATTGAAATCAACATTTATTTACTGTACAATTGATTTCTAAGTGAGAGATTTTCTCTCTCTCTCTAAATATATAGTTTTAACGTAAACTAGGGATAAACTTAGTTGGTGATTGGTTACTTTTTTACTAATTTACTATACAGTCTTTTTATGTTACGTTTGTTTCAATAAATGTCCTTTAGATTTAATAAGTTTCAAAAATTTCATGAAAATTTCTCTCCCTTGCTGATAACAGTCGAGGCATCATTAAAGCCCAGATATTATTGAGCGGATTAGTACTCAATTGCTTATTTACTTACGCCTGTTACTCCCCAATGGAGCCTAGGCAGCTGACCAGTATTATCCAACCTACTGTGTCCTATGCTTCCCTTTCCAGTTCTGTCCAATTTTTGTTCTCATATCTTTCTCTATTTCTCGGCGTAATATGTTTCTTGGCCTTCCTCTTTTCCTTTTCACCTTGAGGGTTCTAAGTAGGGGCTTGTCTTGTGACGCAGTTGGGTGCTTTCCACAATGTGTGTCCTGTTCACTTCCACCGCTTCTTCCTGATTTCCTTCTGCACTAGAATCTGGTTTGTTCTCTCCCATAGTAGGTTGTTGCCGATGATGTCTGGCCAACGCATGCGAAGTATTGTGCGTAGACAACTGTTGATGAATACTTGTATCTTCTGGATGATGCCTATCGTAGTTCTCCAAGTTTCCTCTCCATACAGTATAACTGTCTTGACATTTGTATTGAAAATTCTGATTTTGGTTTTGGTTGATATTTGTGTGGAGTTCCTGAGAGTGGATTAGTACTTCATTTTAATGTTTATCCACCACCTCACGTCGAATCGTACATACGACTTTCAGTTTTCCTTGTAATTACAACATTATTAAATCACCAAGTTATAGTTTTATCAATTATTTTCGCTATAGGGTTGTGGAGACTGTTGAGCTTCATTAAAATCATTAATCAGTCAATGTTAGACCACCATCAGAAACCTGAAAGCACTCGACGGCCTTTTCGTCCAAGAATGAGACTCATCAGCAGTGTTCACTAATAACAAGATGTCACACTGATAAACAAATCATCATTGAAATTGGAACAATTCTTCAGTGCTCTCCTTTTCAATGATGATGCCAAACCTTATTTGTTACTTATTTATGCGCCACACAAACCATTAAATTTTCGAATAGGCTGGAAAATTACTCGAGTACTCAAACTGAATCAGGTGGTTTTCTTAGGGAGCCACTCCACAAGCTTTTGACCCAAAGGTATAATCCACAAGACATTGAGGCAACGTTAGAAGATGAGATCTGATGGTAGCTGGTAACCAACTAGAGGTTTATACTCCATTTATTTCCTCCTGATCGTGTGATCTATGTGTACCATTGGTTTGGAATCAGGGTTTTTCAATTCCCCCAGATGGATCGTCTATACCCAACAACCCGGTTTCAGTACTGAACATGGGACTTTCTTCCTGTCAACTTCGTAGACGACACCTCCGTCTCGAAAAGGCACTGGGTAGGATTTCTCTAATGACGGTTATGTATGCGAGGAAATATGAGAGCATTTAAGAAGGAGAGCTTACTTTCTACACTCCCTTCTGTACCAGGATATTAAGGTTAATTACTACTGGATTTCTGCCTAATTTTTCATAAGCAAAATCTCAAATACTTTTATATAATAACAGAAATTCAATTGTATTCTTATATGTGGCTTTCAGCTACATTTTTCTTTGATGAAGACTAGTTATACTACATGACTATTTAAATCAGATCAGATCAGATGATGAAGCTTAGTTCAAACATATCATTCGATAATAATGATCAAAGAATCAAATCATGAGTTTTTCTTTCTCTCTATGTTATGCTAATTAGATTTCAATGTTTGTAGTGTTCTATACACAAATCAGGTCATACCTGCCAACTATGTACAACTGAAATAAAAATCATACAATCTATTGATCCTATATTGAATTTTTCTTATGGAAACATTTTAAACATGAGTAGTTTTTCATTATTAGGTTTCTATTTATAGTTTATTGTTAAGAGGTAGCTTAGATCATCCTGTTATACTTGAAACTATTACGAGTTCATCTTAGTCGTCAGTAAACGAAATCAAAGACAAAACGATCCAGTGACACGATAGACTCCTCTAATCTGAGCGCATTCCAAGGCTCCATTATAAGTAGAGGTAGAAGTAGTCTTGACAAGACGTAGAAAGTGTATTGTATTCTACAAGCAACCAGAATATCGAGTTTGACAAGCACACAAATTGAGTTTATTTATACTTTTTTGTTAACTATTCACCACGAAGGAATGATTACTGTCTATTATCCATCAATAAATGAAAATATATCTTGTACTTTCTGATTCACAAACAAACTTCAAGGATTTATTCTATGTGTCTTGTTTACAGGTCACCAGTAGGTTAAATAATACTAATAGTCACGTGTTTTGTTAACAGTACAATTGAAAAAAAAGTAGAAAATTAAATAATATAATTTTAAAGTTTATACACAGTTGATGATAAATCATTTAATAAGGTCGAATATACTATGTACTGATTAATTTTGAAGTAAATTCATGACTTGTTATTAGTAGGTATCGAAAGAATTTGATTGTCACCGATTTGGTCTCGTGTGCTGTTATGAGTATGAGGGCGGATGTTACTTCCCGGCTGCTCACACTGTGGAAGGGTTTTGTTTTCAGAAGTATCATCGGCCTCGTGACTTCCGAAGGAGCTCGACCATTCATCATGAGATGTCATAACTCTTCTAAATGAAGACCTTCTAACACCCAGAGCAGAGTTTAAATGGTGTGAATTATTTTTTCTTGTTAGCGTTTTTTGTCATTAGTTTTCTACTGGATGGGGTCGCTACCCCAGAACCAACCCCCCTCTATCCGGGCTTGGGACTGGTAACAGCCCTGGAAGGGACTACAGGCGGAGTTATTTTTTAAGTGTACGTGATCATATGAAGCAATATCAAGAACTAATCAAATTATCATTTCACTTGCTTTATCTCGTAGTAATTCATGTTATAGATCTAACATTTTTAAATGTATTTTACCTGAGCATGCTAAAATAAATAATCTGAATAAACTGTAACATGGAAAAGGGATTAATCGCTAATACAACTCTTTGAATTTAATTGTTTAAATTTGTGTTGATATCAAATGCCATATTTATAGTAAACTGTCATTCATAGGAATCACCAATTAAATACCATAACATGAAGATAGTTGCTATTGCCATTTAGTTGCCCTAGAACAATTAAGTACACTTGGATCATTGACTGTCATTAACATAATTATACGCATTCATAAATCTCACAGGTAGTATTAGTATCTTCGAAACTTCAAATACACCTAATGAGTCTTACGTATCATTTAACCCTAGGTCCAGGGTTCTGTGTCGACAACCTTCAACCACTCTAGATTAAAAAAAGTATTCCAGACTTAATCAATAGATTAAAACTTGATCGATCACCATTGAAGATTAGATAAGTATAACGTTTGCCCCTATTCAGTGATCGATCAATGTAAAGTTCTAAATGTATACATAATCTTCTTAAGTTTATATCTCACTCATTGTATACTCAAAATAATTTATAGCCACGTAACTATTTTCATAATTTGAATGACTAGATTTAGTATTCAATTGGTTAATTGTGCCATAAACTACAAACTTATACATTATTAGCGATTAAAGTTGCATAACCTCACTCAATTAGGCCTTGATAAGCCATGATAGCTTTAATCTCATTTGGAATTAAATTTGGTTGACAATCTTGGGGCATTATAAAGTGTACTATTCCACCATTTACCTTGTTTTCATAGCTGCTTTTAGGAGATTAAGCTGCAAACAGAGATTAGTCACTAAATGAACTGTTTGATCAGTAAAAAGTTGTATATATTATCAACAATTCATGTTTTTTAACACACTTACTCATAAGATATTTCTTTATGAGTTGTTATGAAGACGTTAAAATTCTAATTGACTTTAATATATCACTTCAAGATATTAAAGTCCAGTTGTAACCAAAAAAAAATATCCAAAGTATACATATTTATATTTAGTTTTTTTAGAAAATCATTCGTCATTATTTTACTGTTATAAAAATCTCCTTAATTTTGTAGATTATAATTCCTCTTTTATATATATTATATATTACATATTTTGATTTTCAATAGTTTTAGTACGTAATTGTATATTGAATTGTCAGTAGATAACAATAAATAACACATACTAAGATTTATGAACACATTCAACTCATGGTTCTTAGCCTAGAACACTTAATGTTGTATCTTCAATTTATTACTGACAACTACAAATTTTGATATTTTTGTAACCTATTGTTTTTATTCACGAAGTATTATTTGAGGATGTCGTGTTTGCACAAATAATCAATCAATCAATAATAGTAGGTAAATGTGTAAATATAAGAATTACTGTGTACTGTGTACAAATTAAAACAATATTAAATTTCCAAATAAACCTAATTACTGAAATTGTACACATTTCATCAATGATAATGATGTTTAATGTAGAACATCTAATTCTTATGTGTTCATTTTGTAGGTGAAAAACAGTTGTATTGAATAGTCACAGTTGTTTTGTTGTGATAAGTTCATTTTATTGAAATAGTTTAGTTAAGATTAATTGATTAATCTTCTTTGGTGACTAATCATTACCAGGATTTAAGGTCATTATTATTATCCGTAAATGACCTCTTAATCTACCAATCAATAATTTAGCATTTGTAACCAATATTATCAATCCTAATTTTAATAGAATATAACTTATTCCTTGTTTCTATTTATGTCATTATGACCAACTCTGTATACTTCTAAAAATCATCTATGAACATCGTAACCTGAGGTAGTCCATTTTCAAGTTATTACTAACAAACTTCATGGGTTGGAGTTGTGGCAAGGATTTTCATTCTATTCCAGTCTGATTTGGATTTTTAACTATCATTCATTGGATTTAATTCCTATTTTCTGTAAGAGACTCAAATTTTTTCTATCCTATAGAAGATATGTACTAATAACTTACCCATTAGAAATAAATTAATCATTCGTTAGTTTCCCTTCCCTGCTTCAGATTAATGCTGACTCTTAAAAAAATTTGCTAGTATGCAGCTTTGTCTGGGTAATTTAAATGTGGCTCAACAAGCTTATCGATTTAATGAATAATAATGCTAAATCTTTATGGTCAAAGTGAAGGTTTAGCTCAACAGAAATTCTAATTTAGCCAGAAAGCTGCTAAGCTACATGGCAGAAATTGTAGCTGATGGAGGTATGGCGAAACTAAATGTATTGCTAGTCATGTTATAGCTAGTGAAGCAGTAAACAAGCTATCATGTCAATTCAAGATCAAGCAACATTTAGGCACGACATGCCCATAGGGCTCACCTACTTGGTGAACGTGCACTAAATTCGTCGATATTTAAATCAAACATTCCTTTGTTATCAGATGAATTGTAATAAAAATAATATTCAATTCAATAAATCAGTTGATCAAACATATAATACATTAAGTTTGACATCATTATGTTTTGACTTGGCTTCAGCAATATCACCAAATATGAATATCCAACCAATTCATTGTAATTCAGATACACTTGGTGAAGAGTTAGCACAATATGTAAGTGTTCATACCTCTTTTCTGTACTATGTGTATGTATATATATACTTGTATTTTTATTGGTAGGAATTTTCAGTATGTATAAATAAGATAATTTCTCGAATTCCGCAAACTCTTCATGCATTTAAATCTCACAAATATGACGGAAGACATTGGTTAGTTAGTTATCCATCATCTTATTTAGTCCATATTAAATAAATGTATACATTTAATGAATCTACAAGTGTAAAATTTCTTTTTGGAAAAAATTTAAACTATTCTCGTTCTTGTGTATAAAGTGTTATAGTACCATTACTTTAGCTACGTTTGATGTAATTTTTAGTCTTCTAGGTATGTGTAAACCTTCTTTAAAGAGAGATCTTCAAAGATATTGGAAACTTTGTGTAATGTACCTCCAGGTCAACTGCAGTGGTGTCACCACACTCATAGTTTGTTTAAATACTAGACACTTTGTTTTTCTGAGCCCGTTTTTCGTTTGCAACTCATTTTCATTATTTATAGAAATTAATTGCCACTGTTGTCAGTTGTGTAATGTTCTTGTACCACTTAATCCTCGTAATAAAGCCAAAATTGTTTTGGCCGTAATCCACAGTATCATTTCAGTGTGCCTCATTATCAATCGATTATCAGATTTCTACTACAACATTAGTTAATATAACAACCTTCAAAATACCTTCAAAAATTTAAGAAGCACCAAAAAGTATTTATTTCTTATTGAAGCTGTTTAGAGTTTTTAAAAATCATCTTAGTAAATTTCAACAACTGCAGATTAATAATTCTTAACGTGTATTTTGTCGATTTTCTTACATAAACAGTTTATTGCCTCAGTTTTTTCGTTTATTTTTGATGGAATATTCTTTATCGATTCTGGCTAATTACATTATAACTGGTAACTCATTCTGAAGCTTCACTGGCATTTTCTCCTTACCCGTGTGTTTGTTTCGTATATTTTATGTTTATTTGATGTTGTTATCAAAATATTAATTTGAATAGAGAAATAAGAAGACATATTTTGTGAGATAGTACCATTTCGTGCTTTCTTGTCTGTCACATACAAGCAACATGTTATTTGTGTAAATACAGTTTTGAAGATAAGGTCAAAATCTCTTATTTAACATGACATTCACTCACTAGAACCATGGTAAACAAAAGTCAATATACAGTTGTTTTTGAACACATAAAGTTGGAATTTTTTCCGACCAATCAAGATAGCTTCGAGTAGTTTCAGTGTGTGTGGGTTTTGATTACATGTCACAACTACATAACGAAAATGAACGTGATCCTCTCAGACTCTGCTAAATTTAAATCAGATTCACAGATCGATAACGTGAAGTTGGTCGAAAAACAGATATGCCGAGAACTACATCTACTCATGCTTCATGGTTTTATTACCGAGGCCCATTATAAAATGCTCAAGCCCATTGGTACATGCACACCAAAAAATGTATGGCTTACCGAAACTACACAAGCCTACAACACCTATGAGACCAATTCTTTCCATGATAAATTCACCATACCATAAGCTAGCAAAGTGGCTGAAAGAAATTTTGGATCCTGTTTGTAAACAACTGTCGACACATACTATCCTCGATTCCTTTGAACTTCTCCCAACTTTGGAACACTTGAATATTTCTAATAGTCGGATGTGTTCTTTCGATGTAAACTCTTTATTCACAAATGTACCTCTCGAAGAAACTGTGGAATTTATTTGTGACTTCATAACTTCACACAACATAAGAATACCCATTCCGACTACCTATCTTCGAGATCTAATTTTGCTGTGCACAAAGAATATAAAATTCTATTTCCAAGGTACAGCATATACACAAATCGATGGAGTGGCAATGGGAAGCCCTCTCGAACCTGTTTTAGCAAACATATTCATGGGAATGATAGAAAGGCAAGTGAGTCACTTCATCCATGGTATTACACTTTACAAACGATATGTCGACGATATTCTTGTCATATTACCACATTCTACAGATATTAATGAAGGCAATGATTTATTTAATGCAATTCACCCGAATCTGAAATTCACTTATGAGGAAGAAAAGAATAATGAACTAGCCTTCCTCGATATCCTGCTCCATCGCCGTCCAGACGGATCAATCAGACGAAAAGTACACCGCAAACCCACCTGGTCGGGACAGTACCTCCACTTCACTAGTTCCTGCCCCATACAATATAAACGTTCTGTTGTCAAAACTTTATTCGCTCGAGCAAGTAGAATCTACACTGCTGATACATTGAACGACGAATTCAAGCTTATTACTGACACACTTAAATCAAACGGATATCCCGAAACGTTTATTGGTCATCAGAACACAACTATGACGAAGCTGATAGCAACTGATGTGTCCAAGAAACCAGTGTACCTACAGTTACCTTTCAAAGGTGATCATTGCATGAAAATTACAACCAAACAGACTGCGGCTGCAATAAAAAAGACCTTCAATGCAGCTAATCTGAGGCTTATCACAACAATTCAATCGATCTCAGTTACCACAATCAAGTCTCCAAGACCGATTCAGTCCAAATCCCACTGTATTTACCAATTCACATGTGACTGCGGAGAAAGTTACTTAGGGAGGACAGATCGCCGATTGGAAAACAGGATAGGGGAACATATTCCAAAATGGCTAATCAAATCCATGTTTCATCAACCTAGCCCATCATCTCAAAATCGATCAAGAAACCCAGCCTCGTCCATTGCAAAACATCTAACGATGAGTGGTCATCAAATTGACCCAAAATCAGCCTTTAGAGTTGTGACATGTCATCAAAACCCACACACACTGAAACTACTCGAAGCTCTCTTGATTGGTCGGAAAAAATTCCAACTTTATGTGTTCAAAAACAACTGTATATTGACTTTTGTTTACCATGGTTCTAGTGAGTGAATGTCATGTTAAATAAGAGATTTTGACCTTATCTTCAAAACTGTATTTACACAAATAACATGTTGCTTGTATGTGACAGACAAGAAAGCACGAAATGGTACTATCTCACAAAATATGTCTTCTTATTTCTCTATTCAAATTTATCAAAGGGAACCACTGTTTTGAAAATATTAATTATTAGTAAAATGGTAACATAGATTTTAATTTCTTTGTCATCAATTTCAACCCTTATAAATTTTTCAAACTTAAATGAGTGGATTAAATAAAATTCGCAGAAAAACAGAGGATTAGTAATATAAATGTATTTAAAATAATACCAACAACAGCAACGTAGAACTTTGCACGTAAGTACAGCAGTTCAAGTTGCCATTACCACATTAGCGCAGATATATATAATTGTCTATTCAAATCCCATAGGTGTAGAGAGTTAGTAAAAGCATTAGAAGTAATTGGAGAGATTAGGGTCCGAAGATGTTATTCAAGAAGTATAATTCAATGAGGTCAATTTAGAAAGAGAAAGATAGAGGTAATGAGTAATTCAGAAGGTTGGAATTTCATAGAACACAAAGAATAGATGCACCTGCGTCATTGCAGACGGTTTTGAGCCATGTCATTCAGGGTCTCTAACCATCGATTATTATCATCTCAAGGATCCCAACTAGGTAGCCGACACCTATCGACATGACTCAGTCCACTTGTCAATGACTTCAAGGATTTCTGCCAGATTTTGTATTCTGCGCATCATTGCTGATTCCATAGGTAATCACAATGAGTAAGATTCAACAAAAACTACCTTGTTGACAGACAGACAGATACAACGCAGAACTTCGTACGTAAGCACATCAGTTCAGGTTGCCATGCCCCATCAGCACCGAGACGCAACTGTCAGTTCAAATCCAAGAGTGATAGCAATAATAGAAGTATTAGCAGTAATGGAGAAGATTAAGGAGCAAAGATATGATTCCAGAAGTATAATTCAGTATGATAAATTTAGGAGGAGAAAGATAGAGATCATCAGGAATTCAGAAGGTTAGAATTAGAGAGAAAACAAAGAGTGGATGCACCTGCGCCATTGCAAACGATTCTAAGCCATGTCGTTCAAGGTCTCTAACCACTGGTGACTTTCGTCTCGCGAACCCCAACCACGTAGCCTACATCTACCAACATGACTCAGTCCACTTGTCAGTGACTTCATGGATTTGTGCCATATTTTGGTTTGGCCACCACTAGCTTTCTTCAAACCTACTCATACACCACAAAACATAGCTCGTCGAGACAGTCGGTAGTTAGCCATACGTAACACATGTCCCAACCACCTCAACTGATGAAGTTTCACCACTTCATCTATTGATCTGCCATCGTTACCTAGTACTCGGTTGTCCCACGATATACGAGCAATGTTTCTTAAACATCTATGATCGAATACTAGTAACCTACGAACATCTTCGACTCTTAACGGCCATGTTCCGCATCCATATAGGAGAACGGAGCGAACTGCTGCGCAGTACACCCGTCCTTTAGTTAGCGAACGGATATCTCGCCTACGTCATAAACGGCGTTAATGGGCAAAAGGAAATCGAGCTTTCTTTATCCGTGCTGAGATTTCGTCAGTCACCAGACCATCAGTACTGATGAGACTCCCCAGGTAAGTGAAGCGGTCTACACGTTCGACTACCTCACTCCCTATCACTAGTTCAGGTGCCGATGAAACCCAATCTTGAAGCAACATTTTGCATTTCGAGGGGGAAAACCGCATCCCGAACATGCTTGCATGTTGCTTAGGGTGGTCAGAAGACTGCGTTTTGTCAGCGTCTTCACCAAGTAGGACTATGTCATCGGCATATTCTAAGTCGATAAGCGAGCCTCCTGGTAAAAGGTCTACTCCTGAAAATTCAGACGAGGATAAGATTATTTCTAGGAGCATGTCTATGATAAAATTAAATAAGAATGGGGAGAGTGGACATCCCTGACAGACACCACTTGATGTAGAGAATTCCGGTGACAGTTTGCCATAAGCTCTCACTAGACCAGTATTGTTCGAGTACAGAGGTTGTATAAGGTTGATGTACTTCTTTGGTTCACCTTTCAATGAAAAACACTGCCACAGAACCTCATGATCCACAGAGTTGAACGCTGCCTTAAGGTCCAGGAACACAACTATTGTAGGACGCCTAAATGTATGCCTGTGTTCCAGGACCTGTCTGAGTGTGAATATGTGGTCTATACATCCAGGTCCAGGTCTGAAACCAGCCTAGTTTTCTCTATTCTGCTCTTCACGAACTCTAGTTAGGCGTATAAATATAATGGAGGCTAACAATTTAGAAACTATATTAGTTAGACTTATTCCCCTGTGATTGTCACAAGAAGACTTTTAGGATTTGGTTTTGACCAATTTGGTGTCGTGTGCTGTTACGGGATTGAGGGCGGTTGTCAATTCCCGGCTGACCACACCGTGGAAGGTTGTTTCTTGAGGGACCTGAAAAAGAAGGTAGATTAGCGTTGGTCTTGGAGACCTGGGTGCGTGACCGCAGAGCCCAAGGGACAACTGCTTGAGGCCGGTCACGCACGGCCTTTTTGTGATGGGTTTTTTCAGTATTAAATCCGCTCGTAAAGGCCCTTAGTGGGCACCCTTACCCAAGGAGACGGAAATCCGTGAGGTAGGGTGAGGTGTGACATTTCTAGGGTCCACCTTCTCTAACCCTTCCTTCCTTGTGAGAAGTCAGCACCGCTGCAGATGCTGGTTGTCCGAGGAAAACACATTACTGCTGTCACACCACCCATGCAGTCAGCAGTACGACTTCGCCCTCAGACCTTGGATAGCTGCTTTTAGTCTCATCGTTCTCCAATCGACCTGTCTGGCATGGTAGAACCTTGAGGAACATATGTTCCAGCCAGTATAGCTCGGTTGGGTCATCACGATAGTCAAGGTAGCAGCTATGGTCGGGACTACCTTGTTGACCCAATATGGTATTGAATCATATCATATTTACACATTAAAAAACAGATCTATTTTAAATTTTCAAGATAATTTTTACCTTAGATTTCTCAATTACAGTACACTAGCTAAGAGACTTTCGTTTCGACTAACACTGAAGAACTAACTACTCGACAAGAGTTAATTAATACAAACAGTCTCTTATTCAAAACTCATTAAACTTCATTGATTAAAGAATACTATAGAACTAGTGATTTTATTGATATGATTCTTGATTTGTATCTCTGTCGAAAAACAAAAATCTTGTCAGTTTAACAAGATGGTTAGAATGAACATTTTAACAAAGTGTTATACACATAGAGTTGTCAGGTGGGACTACACGCTCATTTTCGAAACTTTATATCACTCTTGTTTTCATTTTACTGAAAGTTTAATTGATAAGTTGAAAAGAATGATGTACTGAGTATTAGATACTGTGATATTTTCAGACGATTACTTTCAAACTTAAGGAGAATGTTCACCTTGTCCTTGATATTTTACTTGATTTGATCATTGACAAAATCTTCGCTAACGTTCTTATTTGTCATATCAGTCAGTCAGTCAGTTGCAACGTAGAACTTCGTACGTAAGTACATCAGTTCATGTCGCCATACAACATCAGCACAGAGATGTAATTGTCAATTCAAATCCAATAGTAGAAGAGTTAGTAAGGGTATTAGAAGTAATCGGAGAGGTTAGGATTAGAAGATATTATTCAAGAAGTATGATTCAGTGAGAAAAGTTTAGAAAGTCAAAACTAGAGGTGTTGAAGAATCCAGAAGATTAGGATTTGAGAGAACACAAAGAATAAATGCACCGGCGCCATTACGAACCATGTCATTCAAGGTCTCTAGCCATCGATTATTATCATCTCGCGGACCCCAACCACGTAGCCTACATCTACCGACACGACTCAGTCCACTTGTCAATGACTTCATGGATTTCTGCCATGTTTTGGTTTGGCCGCCCCTAGCTTTCTTCCAACCTATTCCTACACTACAAAACAAGGCTCGACGTGGCATATATATTTAATATGACTGCATAATGTAAAATCTGGTCATTTTGTATAGTATTTTGTTTCTTTATTTCAGGTCCTGACAAAAGTCGATAATAATAATAATAATAATGATAAAATTTTAAAATATGATAATATTTTACCTACATCAAGTTCATTTGATGCTACAACAACTGCTCTATCTACAATACCTCCTCTGGAAACAACTGAAACTGATTTGTTTTTAAAAACACTTGAAAAATTTCAGTCTACTGGGAAACAAAAGTATAATGTAGAAAAATTGTTTTCTTGTTCAAAATGTGTCGGAGATGTTCTTGTGATATGATTGTAATTTCAAATATTTCAATCAAACAATAACATTTTACTCTTCAAGAATAACAATTAAACCTCATGTTCTTTTATATTTTATTACAGATTAAGTTTAATATGATGAAAATATATTTAATATAAATTTACTTTGTTTTTCACTCATTTTATTTCTCATGTTACTTTAATACCATTACGATTATTGGAATGAGTAATGTTGTCCTCCTAATTCTCTAGGGCTATCTATCATACTGAGATGCTTGTACTTATTATTATGACAACTTTTAATATGTTTTCTTAACGTATACTACTATCGTAATACAATAATTAGTAATTGTAATATTTTATACACATTTGTTCATTATCTGAATTAGTACTTACCGGCATATATCTTAAAACTCAAATACGGCTACTTATCCTTACTCATCATCCAGAACCAGTACATAAACATCGTCGTTGACTTGATGGCCGATATGTATTGGAAACCATATGTGCTAGATCAGTATTATTTCGTATATGCATAACATAAATACGATGGAACACAGTTTGGATCTGTGCCAGTAAAGGTTTTATATAATTTTTTATATAAATTTACCCTGTAATGTCTAGGGCAATTTTACATTGGTTTTCAGGAGAACCATAGAGACTGGACACGTTTTACCATTACTACATGAACAGTTCGGCTCAATCCTGTGGTGCGACCACACAGGTACCTGATACCCTGGTGGACCATACACACCATTTTCATATACACACAATGGTATATATATTTCCGATCAATGATCGCGTCAATCAACATGCACCGCATGAACAGGCCATTTCGACCCATCCCGCTTACATGACTGTCAAACTCATTATTATTAGCAATGGTGATATGTAATACAGCACCCCGATGACAATGGCCCTCGGAAATGTCGCAAAACAACCACCTATATCAATGAAATCGGTCACCCTGCTAACCAATTTTGTATATGGACTGTTAACAATGCTTACCAAAGCAAAGCCAAGCCATCCACAATATACACTGCGAACCTCTAGTCTCATAGGAGACCTTCAGCTCTATATAGCAGTATAGCATATGGTGTATACATATATGGCGCAGGATAGTAGAAGAGGCAGCCCAGCTTAATGCAAATAGGCCCCAACTCTTCTACTACCCTTTGTCTCATGTCGGGCAATGATTTTTTCGCGTTTCCGAAATTTTCATTTTTCGACCATATGAGACCTGAGTTAGGGGTAGTACTACTTCAAAACCAACTCTCTACTCGGCTTTCCTTCCCACTTGCTCCCAATTGTTATTCGTTTTTTTTCATATCTGCCATCAATTTCTGAAGTATCATAAGCTTTGGTCTTGGTGGTGTTCTAAGTTCGGGCTTGCTCTGTGATGAGGTTAGAAGACTTCCGTGATGTGTCCTATCCACCTACAGCGTTTTCTCCTCATTTCTTCCTCAGCTGGAATCTGATTTGTAATCTCCTACTGTAGGTTATTCATTGATGGTGTTCGGTCAACGGATCCAGAGTATCTTGAGTAGACAACTGTTAGCAAATACCTGTATCTTTTGCGTGATGGCTTTCGTAATTCCCCAAGTTTCCGCTCCATACACTAGAACTGTCTTGACATTTGTATTGATAATTCTGACTTTGGTGTTTGTCGATAGTTGTTTTGAGTTCCAGATGTTCAATTGTAGAAATGCAACCCTTGCTCTGCCGATCCGTACATTTTTATTTGCATCAGATTCACCTTGTTGTTCATCATTGATGATATCCAAGTACATAGGACTTTTCACATCTTCCAAAGCTTCTCCGTCAAGTGTAATTTGTTTGGTGCACGCTGTATTGTATTGGAGGATCAATCTTTTTCCCTTGTGGATGTTGAGGCCTACTGCTGCATAGGTTGCTGCTACATCGGCTGTCTTCTGCGTTTGTTGCTCTCTATGGAAATAGAAGAACTAGATGATCTGCAAAGTTCGAATGTTCTAACTGCATTCGAGCTGTCCATTGTATCCCTTGCTACCCCGGAGATAACGCAGTCAATCACCAGAAGAATCTTTCGGTTTAGCAAAGCTCTGCTGAGAGTAGAGTGATGCCTCTATACTTCTCACACATGCTAAAATCTCTTTTGCAGTTACTGCTTTCGGTGCTTCAGCTGGTATATTGTCTGGTCCTGATTTACTACTTTTGATTTGTCTGATGGCCATTCTGAATTCACCTGTTGGCGTGTCAACATCAACTGGGTGGTCTGTAGGTGCCGCCTCGATTTTTGGTAGGTTCAGTGGAGCTGGTCTATTCAAGAGCTATCCAAAGTTCGGTACCCACCTGTTTCTCTTTTCCTGAATGCTGGTGATCGCTTTGCCTTCCTTTTCGATAATACCGAAACCTAGCCGGAAATGCGTTGAGTATTCAACTCGGGAAAATTGCTTGTTTCCACCTTGCTCAAATAGTTAGTTATTGCCGTCATACATCTCGTTTAAAACACTCAACCCCTTGAACGACAAGCTGAGATAAAAAAGCGAAGTTTAGAGTTTAGTAAAAGTTATTCTATGTATCGGAAACATTGAATAAACATATTTATCAGCTAAGTCGACAGTGATGGTCAGCGAACCCGTTAACGTTCCACGTACTCTAATCATACCTGGGTCAAAAACTATGCACAAGGTAAGATCGGAAAGTATACGAGAGAGATCATCCGAGAAAACCAATAGTTTTTTCACCAACACAGTCGCTCCATGCTCAGTGGAACCTATTATTACAGGCGAACCATTGGTATTAGACGAAAATGACAAACGCATCACCACTCGGTTAGCTCACTATACAGAGAATAAGAATAGCCAGTCAGGACACTTCTTTCCCCGTCACATTCAGTTTGGAACCACCCGACCACATCACTTACCGTGGCTTCACAACCGTACACCCATTCCTTTATCACCCTCATAACTTGATTTCCTGCTTTCAAATCATCGGGTCGTGGTTTCTTGTGTCGCATTTTGACGCCGTCTCTCCTACTTCTACCGCTTTGGTTTGGACAAGGCCGAGCGGGTGACTAGCCTTAAGGAGCAGTGGCGAAGATTTTCGGCACAAGTGGCAATGGCCAGCTTACGTACTATGATGCTCTATTGCCAAGCTATCGTGAAATACCGCACTCCTTACGCTCAAACGTCGTTAGCAGAGGCGTATGCGAGCAGTTGTCATCCGGGTCGCCAAAATATTCCTAGTAACACTGAACATAAATTCATCCACATAAAAATTGTCTGCAGATGCCTTGTTCTAGGACGCCCTATTCCATGATCTGAGACAGGCCTTACAGTTGTTTACGAACACTGGTTCATAGTCGCTGATGCTGTTTATTGAGATCGTTAACAACCACAAAAGACGCTGCTCACCAAACGAGTGACCTTAACTTTACACACAAAAAGAATACAGGTTATTACTCTAAAGGAATTTTATTAAGTATCAAAATGCATATTTGATTACGAAAATTCAAACCATACAGCACTAGATATCCACACAAGATGACAGAAGAATGCACATTCTACAGGAAAGAACAATCACCAATGGATGACGAGTCAGATCTTTAATCTTTACAAATTGTCCGAGTCTTCAAGCAATTAGCAAACGGAAGTGTAAGTAGATATGAAACAGTAGAAAAGTAGTCAAGTGAAGGTGGAAAGCCCTGATTGGCTAGAAATGCATCGGAAAGCACAGAAAGCTAAGGCTGTAAGATCGAATGAAACATGTTGAATATCCACAGGAACTCTGAATTCAAAGGTTGACCAGTTAGACGCCGAAACTGAGGAAGGGAAAAGTTGGTGTACATTCGAAATACCATAAAGATCCCAATTGTTATTCTTTTTTTTTCATATCTGCCACCGATTTCTGAACTATCATAAGCTTTGGTCTTGGTGGTTCCAGGTTCGGGCTTGCTATGTGATGAGGTTAGAAGACTTCCGTGATGTGTCCTATCCACCTTCAGCGCTTTCTCCTAATTTCTTCCTCAGCTGGAATCTGATTTGTAATCTCCTACTGTAGGTTATTGATTGATGGTGTTCGGCCAACGGATCCGGAGTATCTTGAGTAGACAACTGTTAGCAAATACCTGTATCTTTTGCGTGATGGCTTTCGTAGTTCCCCAAGTTTCCGCTCCATACACTAGAACTGTCTTGACATTTGTATTGATAATTCTGATTTTGGTGTTTGTCGATAGTTGTTTTGAGTTCCAGATGTTTAATTCAATTGTAGAAATGCAACCCTTGCTCTGCCGATCTGTACATTTTTATTTGCATCAGATTCACCTTGTTGTTCATCATTGATGATATCCAAGTACATAGGACTTTTCACATCTTCCAAAGCTTCTCTGTCAAGTGTAATTTGTTTGGTGCACGCTGTATTGTCTCGTAGGATCAATCTTTTTCCCTTGTGCATGTTGAGGCCTACTGCTGCATAGGTTGCTGCTACATCGGCTGTCTTCTGCGTTTGTTGCTCTCTATGGAAATGGAAGAACTAGATGATCTGCAAAGTTCGAATGTTCTAACTGCATTCGAGCTGTCCATTGTATCCCTTGCTGCCCCGGAGATAACGCAGTCAACCACGAGAAGAATCTTTCGGTTTAGCAAAGCTCTGGTGAGAGTAGAGTGATGCCTCCATACTTCTCACACGTGCTAAAATCTCTTTTGCAGTTACTGCTTTCGGTGCTTCAGCTGGTATATTGTCTGGTCCTGATTTACTACTTTTGATTTGTCTGATGGCCATTCTGATTTCACCTGTTGGCGTGTCAACATCAACTGGGTGGTCTGTAGGTGCCGCCTCGATTTTTGGTAGGTTCAGTGGAGCTGGTCTATTCAAGAGCTATCCAAAGTTCGGTACCCACCTGTTTCTCTATTCCTGAATGCTGGTGATCGCTTTGCCTTCCTTTTCGATGATACCGAAACCTAGCCGGAAATGCGTTGAGTATTCAACTCAGGAAAATTGCTTGTTTCCACCTTGCTCAAATAGTTAGTTATTGCCGCTATACATCCCGTTTAAAACACTCAACCCCTTGAACGACAAGCTGAGATAACAAAGCGAAGTTTAGAGTTTAGTAAAAGTTATTCTATGTATCGGATACATATTGAATAAACATATTTATCAGCTAAGTCGACAGTGATGATCAGCGAACCCGTTAACGTTCCACGTACTCTAATTATACCTGGGTCAAAAACTATGCACAAGGTAAGATCGGAGAGTATACGAGAGAGATCATCCGAGAAAACCAATAGCTTTTCCACCAACACAGTCGTTCCATGCTCAGTGGAACCTATTATTACAGGCGAACCATTGGTATTAGACGAAAATGACAAACGCATCACCACTCGGTTGGCTCACTATACAGAGAATAAGAATAGCCAGCCAGGACACTTGTTTCCCCGTCACATTCAGTTTGTAACCACCCGACCACATCACTTACCGTGGCTTCACAACCGTACACCCATTCCTTTATCACCCTCATAACTTGATTTCCTGCTTTCAAATCATCGGGTCGTGGTTTCTTGTGTCGCATTTTGACACCGTCTCTCCTACTTCTACCGCTTTGGTTTGGACAAGGCCGAGCGGGCAACTAACCTTAAGGAGCAGTGGCGAAGATTTTCGGCACAAGTGGCAATGGCGAGCTTACGTCCTATGATGCTCTATTGCCAAGCTATCGTGAAATACCGCGCTCCCTACGCTCAAACGTCGTTAGCAGAGGCGTATGCGAGCAGTTGTCATCCGGGTCGCCAAAATATTCCTAGTAACACTGAACATAAATTCATCCACATAAAAATTGTCTGCAGATGCCTTGTTCTAGGACGCCCTATTTCATGATCTGACAGGACTTACAGTTGTTTACGAACACTGGTTCATAGTCGCTGATGCTGTTTATTGAGATCGTTAACGACCACAAAAGACGCTGCTCGCCAAACGAGTGACCTTAACTTTACACACAAAAAGAATACAGGTTATTACTCTAAAGGAATTTTATTAAGTATCAAAATGCATATTTGATTACGAAAATTCAAACCATACAGCACTAGATATCCACACAAGATGACAGAAGAATGCACATTCTACAGGAAAGAACAATCACCAATGGATGACGAGTCAGATCTTTAATCTTTACAAATTGTCCGAGTCTTCAAGCAATTAGCAAACGGAAGTGTAAGTAGATATGAAACAGTAGAAAAGTAGTCAAGTGAAGGTGGAAAGCCCTGATTGGCTAGAAATGCATCGGAAAGCACAGAAAGCTAAGGCTGTAAGATCGAATGAAACATGTTGAATATCCACAGGAACTCTGAATTCAAAGGTTGACCAGTTAGACGCCGAAACTGAGGAAGGGAAAAGTTGGTGTACATTCGAAATACCATAAAGACAAGAGCCAATCCAGTGTGCTGCAAGTTGGATAATTAAACAATTGGGTATAGACGTAGACATGCATATACGAATGCTGACAGAATACATGTACTTTTAAAACATCGTTCAGAATAAGATGATTAGAGCACTTTACGCATCGCGCATATCCGGTGAGCCTGAAATTAGAAGCAGAAAACACGATTAGATATGAAGCATAAGCGCAAATAGCCAATATTTACTGATAATTCTATGAGCTATATGTGTGTGGTTTTGGTGATATCAGAACCAAATGTTTACCATTAATACCAAGATTCTAGGTAAACTCTAAGACTTATCAATTTTATTACTTTAACTCTCAGTATAACATGGATACAAAACATTTTATGGTATGAATGAGACGAACGAACATGGATAACTTACCATCTCCGTTGTGATAATTATCCCTTCCTCCACGAGGACCACCACGACCCCGAGACTCGAACCCACCAGATCCTCTGAATCCTCGGCCACGAGGCCTTCCACGCCCACGGAACCCACGACCTCTTCCACCACGATCCATGAATTCATAACCACCACCGTACTGAAGTTGAAAAAGAGTTAAGTCGATAACTAGGAAGTGGTACAGAGTGAGAAACCACTTTACTGTGAATATGACCGGAAACCGAAATGACTGTCAAGAATACTATTATAATTAGTTCATAGGGTTAAATGTCTTTAAGAAAGGATCATACTCTACATGGCGAAACTAGTACTGCGATCAACTCTTTCGATCCACTGAAATAAGATCCAGGTATTCGGACAATCAGACTGCTGGACCAAACACTCACTGCTGCGTGAAGCATTGACCCTTGTTAAACGCAGGCGCAAGCAAGGTCACTTAATGATATCATCAAGTCAATGACTGAAGAATAAATGCGGACCAGTTATATATAACTTGGTATGCCACCTATTTATAGGTAGATTTGTTGCCATGGAATATATCAAGTTCGACAGTAAATACCTTCATGGACCCACCGCAGACTACATTCCAAACAATGAAGACTCACCATTTCTGAACCTCCACGACCGCGTCCGCGACCTCGAGGGCCATAATAGGGCCCGAAATCCTGATTGCTAGAGAACCCACCAGGTCCCATTCCACGACCTCTTCCACGCATGTTGAATACTCGCGGACTTCGTCCACGTCCACGCAAAGTTGCGTACACACTCCCCTAAGCGAGAGTAAACACTCAATTCAGTTTACCTTGACAGGCTCACCTCCAGGTCCCGTGACTTCGGATGCTTCATCACCCTTGTCACCTTCAACGACATAGAACTCAACCTCTTCACCTTCCTGGAGTGAGCGCTGAAGCTTTTCTGGATTGTTACGTGAAATTGCCGATTGGTGTACGAATATGTCAGTAGATGTGTCCAAACGGTTAATGAAGCCATATCCCGCCTTCACATTAAACCACTTGACCACACCTTTGACTCGCTCTTCCATCACCTTGCGTGGTGTGTTTTGTTTTTGTTGTTCGTCTTTTTCAGCTGTTCTAGCATCCGCCATGGTGTGTTATCCCACACTCTGATGGCAATCAAACAACCGGGCACGCCTTTAGATCTAACAACCACGACAACCACTATATGCCGCTGAAAATGATGGACATTTGCTGCTATTCAATAAAACACAGGGTGAAATTTTTCTAGATGAATTCACTCATTCACACGACTAGGAATCAAAGGATAGTTACGTCGCGTAAATATTACCGGTAAAGTAGTAACATTCTATCCATATTCTTTCCTGTTGCAAGAGTGAGTTCCATTTCAAATGTGAAGACACAAACTCTGCTGGATAAGAGTAGAAAACTGTTCCTTCCTTAGAATCAGTGTCTGTATAGTGGGAGTGTGTTATTAACTGTGTCGGCCTGTTTTTACTGCCATTATCTTTTTGAATTCTAGTACGAAAGCACTGCAGACAGACCTCTTCCTCTTTGTAAACTAGTCCGAATTGCAGTTACTATCACTCACATTTACATGCACTTTGAACTCGCAAATGCTCAATAACACAACAGTAGAGGGCGTTTTTGACTTCAGCTGAGACGAATAATGAATTTACTGGTAATAGTAAGTCATAACCTTACGACCTAGACCCAACTCTGTTTGATTGCAGCTGAATGGTGTTGAAACTGTAAGGGGGTTGATCCAATTTGGATCCGAATGTGCCCAACACAGACAAAAAACTCATAGTAAATCTAAAATTAGAAAACCGCACACATGGCCCACACTTTCATTGAAAATACAACCTATGTAGCCTAGAATAAATACGGAGTGCAGCTATTCTTGCGAATCTGCAGTCTCTCGATTCTCCAAATTAGGTGTAGCTAGGACTGTTAGAAGGCTTAGCACTTTCTTACCCGTGATCAAGAAGTGACTAAAATATGATTTGTTGTCTACTTGGAAATAATATTAGACCTAATACAACCTCTCTTTTACCAACTAGGTCAGGCTAACTCACAGGACACAGTAGTGGAGTTAGGAGTCAAGAACAACGAAGTCCTCAAATGTAACTTTTCGTCACGAAGTAATCAACTATCAAAACCTTCTATCGGAAAGGGTAGAAATCATACCTCCAATCAACTCACAAGAAACCAGACACGTAGAAACATCCATTAAGAGGGAGTCCAATAAATCTCTTTCTTCTATTTCCAATACACAAATTTGAGTCTTGGTTTGAAATACAGTAGCAAAAACACCAGTCATCAAGTGAACAGATAGTGACCTTCGGTCCCTGTGGAACCTAAGCATACGTTCAGTCTTCTTGTAGAGGACCCAGATGAATATTTTGTCAGTACCGTCACGCGTAAGAAACTCTGTGAGTTACCCATACTCATCATGTAAACTTCGGATGAACTTTTGCATAAGCTCATTAGTTTTATCCTCTGATTGATGACCTAAGTTTTATTATACATGAGATTTTACTGGAGATTCATTCGGGTTAATGAACTTGTGAGTGAGATGATATGTCATGCCCGTAGTCTTTATAGCTTTTTCGTATTGCAATGGTTGAGAAATCAGGAACTGAGCCTAATTATTTTCACTAAACAGCTCAGTATAATCCTCATGAATCATCCAGGTAAGTTCATCTGTTTTTACTACTCATGTAAGTCTATGAATTTATACGTGTTCCATTGAGCGAGAGACAGTTAACTGCATTCTGTCCTATTCCTAGAAGTGAAAGTTGCCACAAATTATTTTTTTAAGCAGAATTTAGAATGATAGACCGTTCAAGTGGTTCACTTACAACAGTTCCTACTTAATTGTACTGTTACTCGTTACTAGAGTATTGGTAAAAATGTGGTGTTTGACTAACATCAGAGTTACTTTATGGTCCGTCTGATGATCACTGACTTTTAACAACCCACTGGAAATGGCTATTCGAATTCTTGCGGGCAGATATGTGATACCATCTTGTTGAGAAGACTCTTATTGATTCTCGGTTACCGAACACTTACTGATCAATATTTTTTTGCTGATTATTACATTGTTTGTTGCAAGAGAAAGCTTTGACTTTGTAACACATGCTGTACAGTCTGAGGTATTCTGTAACTTCGGTATGATCTGTTTTCTTTCTCAAATTCGAACCCTTTATATTGAACACAGAATTTTTCGTCCATATCTAGTACAGTTTTCCTAAATATTATTTAAAATAGTTCCCAGATTAAGATTATTAAGGATATATCTTAGTGACAGTTTGGCATCTTTCATCGATCACACTCCACATCGCTCTAATTTTCCCACTGGTTAACGGACTAAAAGGTCCACTGACAATTGAAAAGGATGACGCGTAATGAAGATAAGCTATCAAAAGTTGTCGACTCAGATAGCAGCATCAAGGAAAGTATAGTTTGTGAACATAGATGCACAGGCAACAGCCACAATCATGATCGCACTCGAACCTAATAGTCGAATTCCCTAACTCTCCTAAAGTTGAAAACAGATCGAGTAGGACTACTATTCAGCAGATCGGGATTGTAAATGAAACATACAATTATTTGTCCTGAGGCCAGACATTACATTAATTACCGAATTCAGGTCAGTTGCACCTCATTAACTGTCTTGCATTTCCTAGGCAGAAACTTAGCGACTCAATATAGTAGGAATTCTCCTAAGAAATATGCTACACGTTAGGTTCGCAGTAGTACAGAATTGTACTAGCCGTTCCACTAAAATAACCCAAAAACATCACAAAACCTCCAACCCTCAAAATGCATGTGCAGAATGCATTAGTCGACCCCATAGCACACAGAACTGGTAATTCCAAGTCACTTTAATCAGTAGCAACAAGCGCCTTGATTAAAAACAACAAGAAAAGAATGCCAAATATTTCACGAAAACGACATATCAGCCTGCTTAAAAAAGCCTTCAAAACCAGTTTAGATTAACAGGCATACATACTACATGCCAAAGAAATTTTAGAACTCCTTCATTCATAAACTTTGGTCTGAATCGTTTATCATTCTCGACAGTAAACCTGTTCTGAACAAAATCTCCGTCAAGCTCTGAATATCTGAGACATCCGTAACATTAAAAACTGAAGGCATGATTTCATCTTTCTAGCTGTTGGGAGTAGGAGTGGTCAAAACCATGTCTTCAGATACCGGCGCAATTCGCTATCTAGTCGTGCGTATTACTTAGCCTGTACATAATGTTCACTCAGCCAACAAACGAATCACTGCACATATATATCAACATCTAAGTCTCCATGACATTCATTCCTAGTTGTTGTCAGTTAAGTGTTTAAGAAATATTAGCATAAAACAGAGTTGATACTCAGCATTCCAGTTAGCGTAGTCCGCCGTATTCCACCTTCTCAGCCCCTGGATAGGTTCCGATCATTCATGAAACAGAGATTACAATATTGTATCTTTATCTTAGGTATACGTCCATCTGAGCCATCGCCTGAGGTTTTTTGACACTACCTGAGTCGAACTACCCTATCCACCTCTGGAGCCTCTATATTTTAACGCTCGCCCCCAATACGGCTATGTTTTTTGTCTTCAGCAGTTGGGGGCGGTATTCCCACTCTTTTAAATCCATTCTTTACATACCGTGGAGTGATGAATGACAACCATTCTTCGTCACAAGGGATTCCTCTCAGTAGTAACAGCTTCTTGATTGATCCTACTGACCGATCACTAGACAACCTATTCACCAACTTGACCTTTTCAATTCAGCAACTCTCGTAGATCATGGGAACGAACCATCCTTATTTCCTCCAAAAACTACCGCCTTTCTTTACCGGAGATCATGGGTTGATTATGGAGGACGGAACACTGAACAAAATAACTCTTCACTGAATTATTAAGCTGTTGTTTTACCTAATTTCATTATCCCTTCGCATTTATTTATTACTTTATCTAATTTTCTCCAATTCATCAATGAGATGACCTATTTTAGATCAATAGTTTACTTGGTTAATCCGTGCTTCAATCTTATTACTTTAATCTTCATCACGCCGCGTATTTCTGGTCTAACACTGTATAGATAGTTACAAAATATACCCTAAATATTTAAATCCAGGGAAATGTAGAGGTTGTACAATATATTTGTGGTTTATACTCTTCGCAGTGGGTTATAAACTGTTCAAAGACGCTTTATTCATCCGTATAGGCAGATATGTTCATCAAGAGTTCATAACCGACTGAATCTATAAACCTTCAAGTACTACTCAGGTAATGAATCAACATTTACGTCAAATATTGGCATGCCTATTATCACTAACTATAACGATGTTAATAGTTGATAACTTCAATAAGCCGTTCTTAAACTGGAACCCATTAGTGGTCCTTGTGACTCTGAAAAATTCTTTGAAGGAGCAGAAACAAACAGATGATCTCCCAAAAGCCCACTCGAGACGCTGCATCACTGGACTTAATTTTCCTATATTATGCCTACTAAATATATTGAATTTACTGGCCATGAACCTCCAGGTAATGAATTCAAAGTTATAACCTACCAACTCATTGTGAACAGTGCTCAATAATATGCTTCATTTAAAGTATCTGAATCTCGCATATTTATTGCATTCATCAACCGTAACTTCCGCTTCAAGGAATCTAAAATTAAACTCAACTCTGTTGTATTTTTCGAAATTCTATTAAACGTAATTACAGTTTGTTGCGTAATTTACAGCTTGCGAAAATAGCGGTTACGACCTTCGGTGTCAGGACTATGTACTAAAGACTCTGAGAACATCAGACAAGTGAAAGCTATATTTCTTTGTAACACGCTATGCGAACCTGTGAAACAGGTTACTACTAAACACCTGGTCAAGTCAGAATCTAACTCATTTCAGAATTTCCATAGACTACGGACCTATTATAATTTTCCTGTATTGTTGGCACGGTCTACCTATATGAAGCTATGTTTAATGATTGGCCACCCAGTACCCAACTTTATGACTAGTTAACCGTTTGTTACTCCCCAGTCATACCATCAACCACATAATGCGTCACTTCGTAGTGACCCTGTACTTAACATCCTACATTTTGCAATTTCAACATTAGATGCTTTAATTGCATCTCTTGTTATATGCTTTGTTTTCCCTCTTCATGGCTATTCAATAGACATGTGTCCTTCAAGCATTCTTTTGGTCTCTATAATATGCTGCTCAACTATTGGTAGTGCATCATAGATCGGGCATTAAAACCAAGTGGCGTTACTACTCAGCAAAACTCAAAGGAGGCTAGAAATTACTTGTGGAATATGAAGAACATCCAGGACCTATCCACAAGAAAAGCCATCAACCATAACACCACGTGAGCCCCTTCTTGTCGATTTTGCATCAGTTTCTTATTATTACCGAATATGTTGCTGTTTGACCATCGAATTTTCGTCTAAACGGGTGGTCAGTGGGGTGCATAAAAAAATGTATTGCCTAAATGAACAATTTAAACGAAGAAATGCTTTCTTCGCTGGACTCTTTATCCTTTTCTCGAAAAGTACTAGTTTTCCACTCTTCTGCCCACTGATCTGGTCTTACTATCTTATTTTGTCCAGATATCCACACTTGATCATACGCTATCATGTCATACTGTTTCATCGTACTACCAAAGGTGTCAAGTTTGCACTTGGAGTTATTGATGTGGGCGTGGACGAAAATGGACCTAGATTTCTAAGATTTGGCTAACCAAGTGTAGATAGTTCACACCGAAAGAATTTTAATGAAAATCAAACGCGTTTGTTAATCAACCGCATCAAATGAACAGACACCAAGAATAAGCGTTATATCCATAAACGGACGAAGCAGAGTCTGAATAATAATAAAATTTTTCTGAATAAAGGTACGTTACATGAGGCATGCTAGTTTACAGACAAAGTCAAATAGTCATAAGTGCTACCATACTGCAATAATTTGCTCAATTAGATTAATATTGATATCCTTTATTGACATAGCACGTTTAGGCTATTTCACTGACGTGAACATTTTGATACTTCCACACATTCAACAAGTGATAAAAATGAAGTAGGTACACAGCGAAGTTCTTGAGTGGTATGCATAGATCAGAAGTGATGGGCGAGGAATTTTTTGG